TAGAATAATGAATATAATTAATGATAAAGGGAAAAAAAGGAAGTAAGTGTGAAAAATATATATTAACTTTAGTGGACAAGTATTGTTGGACATTTTAAAATATCATACTGAACAACTATTATTGAACGAAAAGAGTATATTAGACTTCCAAAAATAATATGATGAATCAGTAAAAATAATGGAGGGAGTAAGAGAAACTATGATGTCTTAAGCTAAAATCGAATCCCAATAAGGCAATGACATTGTCCAAAGAAGATGAGAATCTCAAACAAACTATGCACTTGTATTTTGTTCCTATCTTTTTCTTCACATCTAACTAAACACCTATTTTTAGTTTATGAAAAATCTACTTATTTGTGATTTTCTTAAAAATCATTTTGTCTTAAAGTTAGGCTTTTACGTTCTTTTTTAATAAATAGTATGAATAAATAAATAGAGCGTTACATTCCAACAATAATGATGATTCTAACTTGATGACCATTATATATATGGCATTAAGACGCAAACACGTATATTTTGTGTGCATGCATTATTTTTACTTCCAATTTCATTTATCACATACGCAAAGATATTATTATTACTAGCTTTTACAAGCACAATAAGGGTGAGTCATTACAAAATAAAAAGAAAGATCTTTCTAATCAATGAGAGACACTTTCGTTTTCATTTCTCTAAAAAAAGTATTTGAATTATTCTTTGATTTTTTTTAAACAGATAATTAATTTATCTATCGCTTTTGTCGTATTATAATTTAATTTTGTTGTCGTAATCACTTTAATATATTTCCATTATACAATCCTCATTTTCGTTGTCATATTGTTCAAGAAAACCTAGAGTTTAAGATTATTTAATGTTGTGAAGAAATTTTCAAAGAAAAATATAATCTTTAACATTGTGTAGTTCTCATATCTTGTGACGATAGTGACATTTGCATGGAGGGAAGACAAATTTTTCTCTTTAGCTTTCAATTTTATTTCTCACATGCTCAAATGAATTTTCTTTTTCTAACTTTTATAACATAATAAATGATTATTCTTTACGAAATAAAAAGGGAAATCTTTATAATCAATGAGAGATACTTTTGTTGTACATATATACCTTTCATTTCTCTAAATATTTTTTTGGATTCTTAAGAAATTCTTCAATTTCTTTCGAAAACAAATGATTGGTCATTTGTTGCTTTTGTCGTATCAGAATATAATTTTATTGTCGTAGTCACTTAATTATATATTCTTTATATAATTATGCAATTCTCGTTTTCGTTGTCATTTTGTTCAAGAAAAACCTACAAAATTAAGATTCTTTAATATTGTGAAGAAATTTTCAAAGAAAATCTAATCTTTAAGCTTGTGTAGTTTTCATATCTTGGTGATGATGGTGACATTTTTCTTGTAAATTTCATCAATCAATTATGAACATTTATGGATGCTGTAATTTACTTTGAAATATTGGTCCTACTTTTACCTGTTGCTATCTATCATTTTTTTCTCCATTTAATTTGCCTCCTTAACATGTCATTTTTTTCCAATCAAGAGAGTAATGTCTTTTTCTATTGTTTTACCCATGGAAAAAAAATAGTTATTTGTCGATTTGCAAATAAAAAAGTAATGTATTTACCAAACCTAATGTATATATTGCATTTGCAAATAAAAAAGTAATCGAACAAATATTGAATAAAACAGTACACGAAGATTCATAAGCAGCCTAGGACTTATTCGACCTAATTGTTTTCATTTAATCGATGAAATCATGAAATCAATCTTACTTTCACTGTGATCGGTTTCTTTTTAAAATTAAGCGTTTATTTCTTGTCCATTTTTTATACTTTTATATATATATATATATATAATAATATGGAATTTCACTTTTTGTTCACAAACTATTTCAACAGATATTCTAAAGTTACTTTAAAATACACAATAATAACCAATAGCTAAAAGCCAGGTTGCTTACGCGTGCTTCTTGCTTCAGCCTATCCTATTCATAAATCAGAATTAAACAATTATTTTATTACTTACTGGTAATAGATTGTTTTACCTTCCAAAAATGAAACTATTTCCCGTAAATTGCCAAACAATCATGAATTATTATTTGATTATTTGTTCTTCTATCTTATATATATTTAATAAATTATTTGATATTCAGTATCACTTGACTCAAATAGGTTGAATTTGTGTCACGTAAGACTTCTTAAGAGGAAAACACTAAAAATAATTCTATTTTCAAAGATTGATTTAAGACTTTTGATTAAAAGTAGAGAAATTTATGTTATTCCACAAAAAATTGTGGTGGTTTTTTATTATATAATTCCTATGATCTGCTCGTTTTGATCTTTGCACGTCTCTTTAAAAATAATAATTAATATGAGAATTTTATCATAATACTCATATTAATTGACGTTAATTAGCATTAGTGGAGTGGTAAGTACTTCTTTATCCTTAACCAGAGGTCTCGAGTTTAACCTCTAGGTACAGAGTTGCTTTTGTTAAGAAACACTTTACCTCTCCGAACGTGAGATTTTTCAATGAGAATTCGATAAAAATGTATAGACAAATAAAAATAAACTAATGAGTAACTTTAAATATGACAATTTTGTCAATAATGTTCGTCTCCTTTTTATCTAAAGAGACTAGATTAATTATGTCACGTTCCATCTTTATTTTGGATTCTCTTGAATTAATAAAAACAACCAGTAAGTTATTTTGGGTTGTTTCTTCTTATTTAAATAAAAAGGGAAAGGCATAAGTCAGACACCTAATTAATTCTTAATCCTTAATTATTCCTTTCATTGATTAAATTAAGTGATATCCTCTTCTCATAATTTGTCACGAAATGGATTGTACACTTGCTAATTGCAACTTGCAAGGGTTAATTAATAATTAATTAGTTATAATAAGGTTTCGCAGGTGTTGTAACATTCAATGAGGACATTGGTTATAATCAATAAACACCACAATAATGTATTTGTTGTTTGAAGTGTCTGAAAAGTTAAATTAATTATTAGCAAAGATATATGATTACTTGAAGCAACTCTTGGAACGGATATTGTTTAACCAATTAATAAAGTTAACTATATTATAAGCATTGCCAATTTGACATTATATCAATTGGACTTTTACATAACTTTATATTCAATTTTTATTCTTTCTACTAGAGGCATATAATGTTCAAATAATTTTGGCAATGTGGTCGAAAGCCTAGTGGAGCAAGTATGAGATGTACGAATTTAGCCGAATTTAATAATTTTAATTTGAATTTTATATATGCATGTTTAGAAATTTATGAAGCGCATATATATATAAAAACTTCACAGCATATTATAAATTCTAAATTCATGCTTATAAACTTTGAATTTTAAATCTACTCCATCTTAATTTGATGAGCAAAGGTCAAGGGCAATGTTTCTCTCATCTTGAAATGAAGATTGTCAAATTCAAAATAATACGTGTGGTTAAATTAATCAAATAGAGAAAATGGGCAAAAGTCCCACTCACTTTGCCAGTTAAGCAATTGGGGAGGTAATAATTTCATTTTTAAACAGTTTAAGGGGGTGATAGGATCCCCCCGTAAAGTATGAGTGTGTAGTTGAGAATCCGACAATAGGTTAGAGGGGCTTTTGGTCATTTTCTCAATCAAATACGGTCCAAACTATATAAATGTCATGATTTGATTAGTTGGTGAGTAATTCTTTCATCATTAAATTAGTGTTTTTTCTTGTTTTTTTTTTGGGTTTTCCATCGATGTCCGTTACTCATATTGGATCCCGATTATTTTGGACTCTCGTTGCATAGGACCTCATTCTAAGGAAAACACTTCCTACGAAGGTATGTTTTCATACCCAGGGCTCGATCTCAAGACTTTTAGTTAAGAAAGAAACAACTCCATCTGTTGCATCACATTCTTTTATGATCATTAAATGAGTGATTTATGTCCAAGGAATTGAAATTAGCGATTAATGTCCAAGGAATTGATTAAAGATGTAATGTCTGTGGGGCAAAGATAGACGAGAAACCTACATTTGCATGCCCTAATTAAACGGGAAGTAATCAGACGTATCCATCCATCTTGCCAACACGTTGATGTGTCGAACAAGTTATACTTGGGTGAAACGTCATTTTTTAAATAAAAAGTAAAAAACCTTATCTGAGTCAGTTTAGGCACACTTTAATTAGTTTCATAAGTCGTGTATTGGTCAAAATATGAGTATAACGTGGAGCATTGAACAAGTCGAGACGCGTGACAATATCAGTCTAGTCAGATCCAACTTAGTAAGAGAGATTCTTGTCAAAATATGGAGTTACCCCTGAAAATATTCTTAGGGCTTAAAAAGTGTCTCGCCCCATTTCTCGATACGACAAAATTGAATAACCTTACTTTGGAATAAAGCACCTAATAGATTTTTTTTTGTTTCTCATCCGGTGTTCGAACTAAATCTGAATCGCGCACTGCAGGCCATTCAGGGGCGACGCTCCCAATGATTTTCTCCATAACTAGAGCTCGAACATGTGACCTTTGGTTAAGGATAAAATAATCTCACTACTGCACCATAACCCATGTCGGTCCCAATAGGTTTTATTTACTAGTTCTACTACCTTCTTCAGAAGCAAATTCTCAACATTTGGTATTTGATCATTATACAAATTCAATGGAGGATGGTCGAAAGCTACACAGCTAAGTGGCCCAATGTAAAGGCCCTTAATTTATAGGCCCATATTAGTATTGGGCCTCATCAACACTAAAGTCAGGCGCGTGTATCTACAACTTCTAGCTATGCAACTAGCATAAATATTTCCAATATTATTATTCCATTTTCATAAACAAAAGTACTTTTTTTTTAGTGAAAAAAAATACGCTTTACCACCGATTCTTTTCCATTATTCTCGATAAATGCACTTTCTTAAAAAAATAAAAAAAATAAAAAGTGGATTTTTTAAAGCCACTGAAACTAAATTAAAGTAAATAAATAAATAAAATAAAATAAATATTTAACCTCATTCGTCATAATTCCTCCAAAAAATTGTTCAAAAGCTTCAAAGTACTACTTACAACTGAACAGTACTGAACTTAGCTTAAGCTTTTTTTTTTTTTTTTGCTTAGCAGAATCAATGTGATTATTTTTTTTCATCTGTAACATACAGCATTTAGCTTTACTTTCTTCTGCATTTTCAGAGATCCAAAAAAAAAAAAATTAAAAAAAATTCACTGTTTGTTCTGATCTTTGTGCTCTTTTTGGGATTTTTTTGTACTGGGGAGAAATAGCTATGAGAAATTCCTTTTTATTTTTCAGTTTGATAGCTTTTTTTATTGCTTATCTTCAATTTCAGGTTCATGCTGCTGCTCCTGCTGGTAAGACCCATTTTTCTGATTTAATTTGATTTGTTTTTTTTTTTGGTTGATGTTGATTGAGATGATTTCTGTATGATATAGGCATGCTTTAATTTTAAATTTTAAATTTTCATAAAAATTGAGGGTAGGGGAAGGGGAAAGGATAATGGGTGAGGGGATTACGGGAATCGAATCCTCGCGAACAATGTGAAAGTTGAGGAAGTCAATCAACTGAGCTATTAAGATTTCTCCGGGTTTTTTCAATTGATTTTGAGAATTTGACTGATTTTTTGTTTTGTTTTGCAACTCAGGGCCTTTGATTAAGCACTTGAATTCTATACTCAAATGGTCTAGGTCTACCTCTAAAACTCCTCAATCAGGTTAACTTTTTTGTTTTTGTTTCCTTATGTTTGGTTTTACATTTGACATTGGAAATTTGGATTTGAGCAAAAGTGACTGAATACTAGCATTGGAAATTTGACTGTTGTGTGTTATGTTGTTACAGATGGAAATTTTCTTCATTTCGAAGAAGGCTACTTAGTTGAGACTGTTGTAGAAGGAAATGAACTTGGTGTTGTGCCATATAAGATACGCGTCTCAGAGGATGGTGAACTCTTTGCTGTTGATGCTATTAATAGTAAAATCGTTCGAATTACTCCCCCGTTATCTCAATGTAAGCTTCTTTTTGGGTTGGAAAATGGTTGAGAATGTCTGTCTTGTGGACGAATGGAGATCCGTGGTTTACTTTTGATTTATGTGTCTTTTGCTTATTAAGATTGCTGACTGTGCAGATAGTAGAGCAAGATTAGTTGCTGGTTCATTTCAAGGTCACACTGGCCATGTGGACGGGAAGCCAAGTGATGCTCGTTTCAAAAATCCAAAAGGAGCTGCCATGGACGACAAAGGAAACATTTATGTTGCTGATACCTCAAATCTGGCTATTAGGAAGATTGGAGAAGCAGGTGGTTGTTATGCTTGACATCTCGCCTTTGTTTTGAGACATAACATTCTAATTAATTTTCATTGGGTTACTTTTATGTCTCATGAAAAAATTAGGGTGAAGTTACTGTATGGAAGTAAAAGGAAAATGATTGAAAGATCTTGTCTATCAAGTAAAGATCTTCGTCTTTCTTATTTTCAGGTGTGACAACAATTGCTGGAGGAAAGTCTAATGTTCCAGGATACAGGGATGGGCCAAGTGAAGATGCACAGTTTTCAAGCGACTTCGATGTAATATATGTTCGTCCAACTTGTTCATTACTCGTTGTTGATCGAGGTAATGCTGCTCTTAGGCAAATTTCTCTCAGTCAGGAGGATTGTGACTACCAGTACAGCTCAGTGTCAACTATAGGTTTGAATCCTTTAAGACTAGCTGACTTCTTTGATCTTCAATTACCATCAATAGTATCTGCTATCTAGAAGTGTTAAGTATTCTTGATAGATATGTGATATGAACAATGCTTTAGCTCTATCATTTGCTGACTAGGTATATCCATGTACTGACTTTGAAATCAGTTGGGTACGTGGTGTGCTTACCATTTTCTCTTTCAGCAACGAAATATGTTCCGACTCTTACATTTGGAGTTGTAAATCTACATGAAATCTCATTTTGGCTAGCATTTCTTTCAAGGCTAAATGTTTAGAATTTAGCAGAGTGAATTGAAGTTCAACTTGGTATGAGAAAATCAATGATGATGCAATGCATTTCTTCTTGAGTAAAGACAAGTTTTGGGCTCTTTTATTCTGTTAAAGTTACATATTGAGTTGAGTTTGTTACTGAAATCCGAGAACTTAGACCCATATTCGGGATTGGAAGGCCCTCAGGGATTTCTCAGCTGTCAAAAAAAAATTTGATCTATACTTGCACTTGTTTGTGTCCAACTTTTTCCCTGCTCTATAAAGCATATCTTGCTAGATCCAAGTAAAAACGTATTAACACCTAGTACTCACTCTCAGATGAAGATGTGAAAATGACTTAGAAAGAAGAGAAACCATAGCTAGTCTCACGCCCAAATTCGGAACTGCTAATTAATGAATGGATATACAGAATATTTACTATATTAGGTTGTTCTGTTTGTGTAATTTTAGATGTTTACCACTAGTTGCTTCAGCCTGGCATGGTTCGCTTTGGTTCTCTCTAACTTCATCTTATACTTGTGGCAGATGTTCTCATGGTTATTGGTGCTATTATAATAGGATATGCTGCGTGCATGCTCCAGCAAGGATTTGGCTCCAAGACGGTAGGTGATTCTGATCCATGGTCTTCTTTCTTGCATTACAGGTTGTGATTATTTTTCTAGCATCCATCTCTCAGTCCAGTTCTTATTGATTTTCATGTTCTTGCCTACCAATGAAACGCTGGAACTCCCTCGAAGATCAACTTAAATCTCTATTATTTTTTAAATTAAATGGAGGATGTACATTTGAGGAATATCAGTGATTGCCTAAAGATATTACTATGTCAGTTCAGTCTACATCTTGGCATATAAATAGGAGTTCCTCGTGCGACACATTTCTTCTAGTACCCCATTTGTCAGGACATTCACTTATGAATGAGTTGTTTATCCTTGAGGAATTGCATACAAGATTTGTATGGCTTCAAAAGTCATATTGTTAAAATTTTCATGCTTTATATGAAAAGACAGGCATGTGCTTGGTATCATGCTATTTGCTAATCGTGTATAGTTGCAGCAAGTACGTGTGGAAGTGGAGCAACAGGAACCTTCTTTATTGAAGGAGAAGCCGACCCCTGTTGTTGAAACTGTGAAAGACGAACAAGAAGCAGGCTGGCCATCATTTGGACAGCTTCTCTGGGATTTGGCCAAGCTTGCAATAGAGGGTTTGGGTTCCCTTTTTGGCTATGCCGTTCCTTTGCGGTTTAGACACAAGAGCTTCATTAGACCTGGACTAACTCCATTGAAAGATTCACTGATCATGCCTGAAGATGAAGTTGAGCCCCCGTTAGTTCAAAAGCAGAGGGCTCCAGCAGCTGCTTCCGAGATCAGACATGTCCCAGCTGTCGGTGATAAAGTAGTACCCGAGGGCAAGCCCACCAAGATTAGATCCAATAGTACAAAAGACCCTAACTTGTCAACCAAGCACAGGTCTTCCAGACGACATGAGTATGCAGAATACTATGGAGCCTCAGGTGAGGTTCCTTCATACGTGCACGTGAGGTCTAAAAGCCAGAAGGAAAGACCCAAGCATCGGCGACATGATTCAAGTGTTGGAGCAGCAGGAGTAGAGACAAAACCTGCTGATCAAACGAAAGCAGTAAACTATGAGGATCCAAAGTTTGCCCATTACAGCATGAGGAACAAGTATGGAGACTCTTTCCCCCGGTACACATGACTCTAGCCTCACTAATGACTTAGTTTTATAAGCAGGGAGGGTCAAAACTTTTTGTCATGTAAGTTGTAACTCTAATATTAATGGAAGCAAGTCAAGTCATATGTGCTGTATTGAGTAATTTCACAGATTTTCCTTTACTCTTTTCTGGAGGAAGGAAAAAATCTTAAAGTAGTGGCGTACGTCTTGCCGGGGAGTGAAAGTAATAGGAAAAGGATGAGACATTCATGTGAAATCTGAGGTTTGAAAGATGACAGCCGTGATATTCTTGATGATCAAAACAGTTTTGGTTCTAACTTGTGGAGAATCCTCTTTCCTATCCCCTTAATGAAGCCAGCAGGCGAAACGACGATCGACTCACAAGAAAGTGTGTTAGTATTATTATTACATAAGACTTTTGTGTATGTTGTATGAACTTATCTCTCAGTAATTGAATAGAATTCTGTCTCATCATTTTTATGTATTTTGCAGTTGTATAAATGATGCTGGAAAAAGAGCTTTTTTTTTTCTTGCAAAAAGTGAGATTGTTGAAAGTTGGACTGAAATGAAAATTAAAAGCAAGGACAGTTTTAACGTGATAATCACTGCTAAAAATAGTCAAAAGTTGAACTCTTACCAGTCAACGTCCAGTATGATATTTTTATCACTTCTACAATGATGGATGACAGGTCTATTTGTGAATCACAAAAACAAATTATCGAATAATAATGGAGTAATATTTGTTTTGATGTTTCGTATGGGTACCTATTTTGGAATCTGACTAATTCGTGTTAGTGCCAAGAAGTTTCATTTTGGGGCAAACCGCTCCTTAATGAAAAGCTTTGAATTTGAGACCTCTAATTAAGAATGATTGATTACTTACTAGTTACCACTCCCGCACGGTAACCTGGTATAATTCTAGTAATATTTCTACCATAGAATATCTATCAATAACAATATGTTCAGTGTAATCCCACAAGGTGAGGTTTTGGGAAGATAGGATATACACAGACTTATCCCTATCTGGCTACCTAGTGAAGATAGAGATACTGATTTTTAAAGGATATTTGACTAAACCATAGTATATCTATCATGTAGACTAATTTTCTTTTTAAAATGCACAAAAATGGGACGTTTTACATCAAACCAAAACTTTTAAAAATTAAAGTGAAAATGTATATGAGATATAAAAGTGATAACAAGTTCCATCTTTTCTTTTTTTATGTTGATCACATTTTTAATTATCTTCCATGGTGAAAATTTAATATCTAGTGGCATAAAACGGTGTAATCACGAGAAAGCAATTCAAAGCCACCTACCGATATAACTTTCCTCTTTAATGTTATTATCCATAGTTATAGTAATATAGTATTTCAACCTCATTATTTCCTTACATCTCATTTGCCAGTTTTAGGAATATTTCAACTCTTTAACAATTTTTGAAAAGTTATATGCCACTATGGTTTATGTGTGTAACTATAGGGAATTTGTATGCTAAAAAAGAAACACTATGGGTTCTTGTGGATCATCTCATGTCAAGCCCAACAGTTAGTATTTTAATTTCTTGATTTAATATTACAGTTTTTTCTTTAAATAAATTGAATGATATGATTTAATTTTGAATTATAGGGACAGGGAAAAAAATAATAAGAAAGCCAAAACCATGGAAACATCCACAACCAATAACAAGAAGTCAATTGATGCAACTGAAGGAAGAGTTTTGGGACACTGCTCCACACTACGGTGGCAAGAAAGGTACAAATAATTCTCTAATCATCTCATTAAAATTTTTTTAATTAAGTTGTGTTCGAGAGCACACTTTTATTCACGTACGTTGTTTTGATTGATTGTATCCTCAATAAACGATATATATCTTTGGATCTGAATCTAGAACTTTCAACACGAAAGATAAATTTATGTGTAATAATTCATTAAAATTATAACAAAATCATAGGTTTGAATCCATAATTATATACTAAGTATAATAGGTTCAATGCAAAATAAATCTTTGGATCAAATATAATCATGGAAAAATTATCCAAATACAAATTTTAATTTATCATAATCTTTAAAATTCCCTATAATTTAAAAAAATTCAAAAATCCTCTCTCGGATACATCTCTATCCCTCTCGGATACATCTCTCCCCTCTCGATACATCCCTCACTTCTCGGATATATCCCTCTCCTTTGTATCCGGTTCCTATCCCCTCTCTGAAACATTTCTCTCCTCTCGAATACGTCCCTCCCTTCTTGGATACATCCCTCGGCTATGTATTCGAAATCCATAAATTTTAAGAGACTTATAATTTGTTAAAAAATAGAGAAATAATGTAATTAACTCTTAACACTACGTGATTTAGGTAAATTATACAATAATCATCTCAAACCTCCACTCCCACGCCCACCCCTAACACCTAACCAATATAAAAGTTTTTTTTTATTGACTATATGTGATGATCATACAATTCAACATGATACGAAAGCAGATAAGACACGAGTTTATAGACAATTGTTTATTAACTCTGTAACAGAAATCTGGGATGCGCTTCGGGCTGCTGCAGAAGCAGATCTAGAACTAGCTCAAGCAATTGTGGACAGTGCTGGAATTATTGCCCAAAACACTGACATGACTATTTGCTACGATGAATCAGGTACTTGTAAAAATAAAACATGTATTTCGCCTTAAAATTACGTTATTTAGTAAGGTTAAAATTTTAGTTTTATGCATATATATGTTATATGTTTCAAATCGTTTTTACTTGAGTTGAAAGTCTATTGGAAACAACCTCTCTATCTCTCCGGGTAGAGGTCAGGTCTGCATACACATTAATTAGTCATAACCCTACTCATTCTTACTTTTGCGATTCCATCAAATATGTTAGTATTATTGTGTATATATATGCTATATGTTGATTCTTATTTTTTATGTGCATCTATTTTTTCATATTTTGACATTCCTTAATAAATTTTTTGTCTCCGCCACTAATCGTCATGTCTCCAAGAGTGAGCACTAAAATTGCTCAAGTGTATATTTTACACCCATCCTAAACATTAAAAAAAAACTATTATATTTTTAACGTATTTATTTGATCACGCAGATTATATTCATTAAAAAAAATGTTATTTTACTAATAGAAATTTAACATGATTTGTTGCAGGTACCAAATATGAACTACCAAAGTACGTTTTGAGTGAGCCAACAAATATGATAAGATTTGGTTGACAAAATTACATGAAGAAATAGAAATTCCTTTGGTGGATATGTTGTCTCTACACATAACCCCTTTTTCAAGTTTAAAAAAGTGGCGAAGCTATAATTATCCCTTCTTCTTTTTTCATTTATCGTCCCAACATTTGCTAGAAAATATTCACAAGGTAAGGTCTGTGTATACATCAGTCTTTTCAGATCTTACTTGCTGAATTACACTTGATCGATAAGTTATTGTTGATTTGCTAGGTATATTAGGAGTTGAGACTGGAATAATTGTGAGAAATTGGATGTCAATTCCAAACTTTTTGTTATGTGCATTTCATTCTATTAGTACATATAAACTAGTAGTTTTTTTCGAAATGAAACTGCAGATTACTTGAAGCATGAATAGTTTCAATTACAACTCGAAATGTCTCTTCAATTACCTAATCATACCATCACAGTTATTCTAATACTCTTAGTAAGATCATATGCATTTCCTCTGCATCTAAACAGAGTTCACAGCAGGACTGTTGAAAACGTAAACCTCATCGTAACCTTTCCTGCAAGACAAAAAACATAACTACATCAAATTACTGAAAAAAATTGAAGTGATTGCTTACTAGAAATGTAAAAAATGCAGAATTACTTACCCAGTCTTTCCACTATAAGTGGGATTGTAATTGTAGATGAGATTGTCAAGTACTTTTTGAGCTTTATTAGAAGACTTTCTTGCTTCACTGCATTAATACATTAGAAGTGAAAGCTTTCAACCATAAGTACAATCGTTGAATAAATGAAAATACAAATAAAATCAGTAATTGTTAAACTAGAGTTTCATACTCCAATTATCACTTGTTTCAATTTTGACTTTAGGTCACCCATTCTATTGAGTCGCCCATGTAGCATACTATTTTTTTTAGCATTATCATTCTTTACTTGAGGATGAAGAAGTGATGTACCTGACAAAATAGTTGGCAACAAGTTGAGTCACTTGAACTGCATCTTCAGTATGTGGAATTGCTGATGATCCCCATTCAAAAGCACTTTTCTGCAGTAATGAGAACAATTAAACCAAATGAATTCAACAAGAAAGAAAATTAAATACGTTGAGTCGGCTATATGAATCCTCACGAGAAACGTTTAAAGTGAGGATATTATATTACCCTTCTTAACAACTTAACTTGTACTAATAGAATAAGAGAACAAATCATCATTGTACCTCTGGGTGCCACTGTAAAGCAGTTATGGGATAGTTCTCTGCTTTAAGAGTAGAGACATAGACCTGATTCATTGATTAAGAAAATTAGATCACTCATCGTAACAACAACACATCCAGTATAATCTCACAAAGTGAGATTTGACAAGGGTAGAGTGTACACAGACTTACCCCTACCTCAGATGTAGAGAGACTATTTCCGATAAACCCTTGTACTCAATATGTATAAAAAAATTGGAGTAAGAAAATAGATTAATGTACCTTGTTGCGTGTGTCTGTGCTAGTAGTCAACATAATGAAAAAGCTAGATAGATCATCATTTGCTTGAAATTTTTCTGGTGATAAACCATACTGTTGCATGAGGGGAACAAAAAGAAAATCAAAATATTTAATTTTCTTGTTACCTGTGCTGGTGAGAGGTAGCAGGTATTTCGTAAAAGTAATTGAGATGCGTGCAAGATAACCCGAACACCAGAATTATCAATATAAAATTCATTGCTAGGGATGTGCAAACATAATTTTCAAGGACTCACCTTATGACTTTGTAGCACAAGGCATTCTTTACTCAACTTCTTTATTAATGTAGGTGGGAACCTGCATAAAACATATTAGCCAAATAAACAAGAATCAAAATGCATTGTTATTAATCAAATTGGTCATTAATATTAGTCTTGTAATTAGTTTGGTGATTAATAACTAGTGATGATCTTTAATACCTCCCAAATACTGTATCTTCAATATTTACAGTTTCCACAAAATGGAGTTTGGTTGCCTGATTTGATACACTGAATTTCTCAAGAATGTTGTTGTCCTGTTACAAAGGAAAAAATAAATTGGAAACAGCAAAATATTAGACCTACTGAGCAGTCCGGTGAACTAAAGCTTCCGTTATGGAGAGGTCCAGGGAAAGCTCGAACAGAGGCGAACTCAAGATTTGAAAACTTAGGGTGCACCAAATATGATCTCTAAGCTAATGAATTTAGCACCCTAGCTGGATTTGAACTCTAGTCTTGCGAGTAGTTCCTCTTCCTTGTACCAAGGCACGGGAACACTCCTATGCTTTTCATGGATGCATTGTTAATTATATCCTAGTTTCTGACAGTTTCTCAAGATAAATATACATATATATATACATGATTTTTTCCCGAAATTAACAAGTACAAGTGCACCCCACTAGTAAAGGTGGGTCCGCCTCTGGGCTCGGACGACAAGGGTCTATTATACACAACCTTACTCTGCATTTGACCTTTTAATTGCATGTCAATAACTTTACCAGTTACACTAAGGCTCCCGTTCTATATAAACTACTCAATACTTAAAAAAAAGCCCTAATAAAAAGATGTAACAAAATCTGTTACTTATTATGTTTGAAAAGTTTATATTGTGACCAATGTACACCATGATAAGGAACAGTGATCAGTATTTTTACATATATATTAAATCAGGAATATCCTTAACAAAATTTCTGATAACGGTATGTGTATTCATGAATAACCTTGGATACAATCATCATCAAAAGCTCAAATCCATGGTTGATGACAAGGAGAGGGAAATGTTCTCCGGCATCATTCTTCTCCAAAACTTTCTGCAAGTATCACCAAATGAAAATATATGTAGAAAAATTAAAACCAGACAAATATTATATATTACGAGCATTTAGTTGATAACATGGTCAATGATAACTTATTTGTATATGTTTATAACATGTTCAATTACAATGATAGTGTAAAACGTCCTATATTGATAATGTATATAACTTAAGTCCGTAAATAGTTACCCTAAAAATTGCTTTGATAGTCTCAAAATAGTGTCCTTTCTTAGCCCAGCCTCCTGGGAAGATCACTCCATTTACTAGATTAAGTTTCTGCAAATTAAATCCATGTTAGTAATAAAGATTGTTAAAAAACTTGCATATGTGTTTACACAATTACACCAAATCAATATGTATTTTGTTATGAGTAAGTAATAAATGTGATAACACAAGAAAACAAGAAATTAGCGACTAACAAAATTTAATAGCTAAACAACAAAACTTCAATGCTAATTCTATTTAGATATGGATTAGTGATGGATTATGAACAATCCAATTAGCTAGGAGCTATTTCGCAACAGATTAGCTAGAGATTACTAATAAATTCTGTAGCTAATTTCATGTTTTCTAGATGATTTAAAAAAAAATTACTCCATACAAAGACATGTACTATGTTGTAATATCATTAATATGGTATAAACATCGAGTACAAATAAATTCTTATGGATTTTACGTAAAAGCTTTTAAATAAGAATTCAAATTTTAAAAAAGAGGAAAATTAAGTGCACACTTGATCGAGAAGTTGAGGAGAATCATCAAAGAGAAGTGGAATGACCCTAGCACCCCCTGATTCAACTAGCTTCACATACGAAGCAGCAATGTAGGACACTCCGGTTGAATTATTTATTCGACCGGAGTCTCCGTCACCGGGATGACTGATAATCCCGATGACTGGCCGGTAATTAAGGTTATGGTCGGGCAAAGGGCAGCCGGCGGGGACAAACAGTTCCCCCGACTCAATGGCGGTAACCACAAGGAAGAGAGAGGTAGTGAGAAGGGAAATGAGGAAGTAGTTAGACATTTTCTTAAAAAAATTAGAAGATGATGAGAGTGTGTAGTGATTGTGGTGCTCTTGTTGAGCTTTTATAGAAGAACTACTACTCATATTACATAACATTTCCTTAGTTATTAGTCCATTTCAAAGAGAAATAATTTAAATTGAACTTCTCATTTTACTCTAAATAACATGTTTTAATAACCTACATAAAAAGATCACAAGTCTCAAACATTTTATAGTCATATGGATGTTAAGAATTATTTATTAGATTTGTGCATAATCAAATTACAATCAAATATGAGATAAGCACATTCTAAAATTAGTTATCATTTATCCCTCCTATCAAACGAGCTTTAGAGTCATGCATGGTACTTGTAATAATTGAAAGTGATAATATGCCCATACAAAGGAAGCTGCAGTCACCACTCGTACTCACACCTCATGATGGCTCATGCTACTAGTTACCTGTCACACTCATAGTGTTTACAGGCTTAAAAATTTACTCACATTAGATGTTTACGTCAAAACAATCCATTTTTTGCATACGTCAAGGACCATTTCTGTTAACGCATACATATCAAGGACTAAAATAGTCCAAACCTCATACAGTATAAGGACTATTTTGGTCATTTCTCTGTTTAATTTCATGCATAATATCTAAAATAACTTTGGCAAGACACTTTATTTATGTTTTAAAATGTTTCTTAATATGCATAAATAATACATAATCTCCATTAAGATAAAAGGCTTGTGGTCCAGAACTGATAAGCTTAAAATCTTGGATCCACCTCTAACAAATATGATACAACTAGTTTTACCTCCCTCCCCATTTGGTTGTGAGAACTGTATCCGGAGATTGAACGCCAGTTGCAACGCGGTTTACATCACACACTAACATTAACTCTCGAGTAGAACTTCATATGCATCAATTAGATTGTGCAGTTGTTATTGCTCAACTAAACTGGTGTTTTTTTCTCTACATGGAGCTCGAGGAAGAATGCGGAGTGAAGAGATAAACCTCGTCATAACCCTTCCTACAGAACAAGAAACAAAAAAAAGAAGAAGAATGAAGTTTCTGAAAATCAATGCCTAATTTTCAACCAACATGAAATTGTTGTGTGAATTACCCTGCCTTCCCACCATAAGTGGGATTGTAATTGTATATGAGACTATCAAGCACTTCCCGCGCCACTGGCTTGTTAGATGATTTTCTAGCTTCACTGCAATACAAAATAACGAAATAAAACACAAAACTAGAAGCACAACACCATAATAAAAACAATGATGAGGTAAGAGATTAAGCACTTTGCCGACTAGATGTAAGATGTTAACGTGAAGTATATACTAATGAAAAGTAAAACAGTTTCAATTGAAGAGTGAACAATTTGTGAAAAGCATGCCCGGGGAATAAGAGTTCAACTCAATTATTTCACTTCTACTTGTGAAAGTATATTCTTATATCCAAAACAAAACGTAGCCTGCAAATCTAACGTATAAATGAATCTAGAGCCAAAACGGATGCACTCAACCTAAAATTACAAATTACAAAAGCGTCAGTTTTATTCAATATTTTTGATCTGTCAGTTCTATTGGATATTTCATTTTGCACCTCTGAACCCTCCTTGGACGGAAAAGCAAAAAGAGTATACCTTATAAAATAGTTGGCAACATGTGTAGTGACTTGAATCGCATCTTCAGAATGTGGAATCCTTGATGAACCCCATTCGAAAACATTTTTCTATAAGCAATAAAAATGTTCAAATTAGGAGTTTCAGCTCAGAATAAGAAGTCATGTGCTAGCATTAATATGAGCTATTCTGTTCAAGGAAAACAGTCGTATCTCACATTGTTATATCTAACGACTATTAAATCACTGTATGTTCAAGATAGAAATGAAAATCCGAAGTCGTAAGCCAAAGATGATACCTCTGGGTGCCATTGGAAAGCAGCTATAGGATAGCGTGTTGCTTGAATAGTGGAGACATAGACCTGAATTAATCAAAACAGTGTAGTTCAACTAGAATCTCGACTAGATTTCATACCAATTGGAAACATCAGCAGAAATATCCCAATGAAGAAAGGTGTTTAAATTCAACATGTACCTTGTTGTTTTCATCTGTACTAGTTGTCAATACCCTGAAAAAGCTACTCAAATCTTTATTCGCTTGAAATCTTTCTGGTGATATACCAAACTGTTGCATTAATAAAGAAACATGCAATTAATCAGCAGCATAACAGCATATTTAACGTGCTAGTAAGGCCGAAAGCAAACACAAATAAGATGAGACTGAAAGACAAGTGCAATATCTAGCCTGCTTAAAATGTATTATTGTACTCCCTCTGTTCACCTTTACTTGTCCACTATACCAAAGATAGATTTTTCTTTTACTTATCACTTTTAATATATCAAGAAAAGACAATTATTGTTTTCATGTTTTACCCTTAACATTAATTACTTATTCCCTAAATCATTTTTCAAGACCTAATAATAAAGATCAATTAATAGGGGTAGTGTGGTAAATAGTCATATCAATAATTGTTTTCTTAATGGGTGTGCCAAATTCAAACGTAATAAGTAATAGTGAACGGAGGGAGTATAAGATTAACATGAATCATTCATCTGAAGGAGTTGTCTCTCTTGTATTACATGTTCACAGGGACATACTACGGACTGATCTCTTGTTGACAGTTTATGAACGATGCAAATATTCAAGGATAAATATGAACACCTTGTCGAAACAAGCTGAAACAGAACTGTAGGCAGTAACTCAGAGACCACACTCGAATGTTGGATGATGAAATTTTTAAAACCCAAAACTGATATACAGCCTTACTAGATGTAGTATCCTAAAAGATTTAGGACATTCTTCAAGAGTTACCAATGAGCAACTTCAATCTCCACCGGACAAAAAAAACGTGTTGTAAACCTTGTAATGATCACAATTAAGCTAGAAAACAAAAGTGCTACACAAGGACAAGAAAAAATCTATTTTTTGAAACTTACATGATGATTTTGCATCACAAGGCAATCTATACTCATCTTCTTTAGCAACACAGGGGGAAATCTGCATAGAAGTTGATAGCAAGTTGTACATCAGCAAACAAGAATTATCACAGAAATCTGACCCATTCACAACCTGTTAGTGCTCATTCAATATAGAGTTGAGCATGCTATAAGGTCAAATGCTCAATAGGCTTTTTAAAAGTGCAGGAAGGCAATATATAGTGGACAATCCTTCTCCGCTATGCCATCATCATTAGCAAAATCAAACTCATTTTACACATAGCAAGGGAAAGAGAATAAAGTGACGCTTCTTACAAATCACATAAAAGGCCAGGCTTTGTTCTTGAGTATTCCAAATAATATTAGGCTCTCCATTCATGTGCTTATTATGATTTCTTGAACGGAGAGATCCATAATTACCAACTATGATACAGGAAAAATATCTCGGAGCCTTACAATTTTCTAAACAGATCAGGCTTAGTCTATTTACTGTTTTTCTATCAATGTACACTTAAATTTACCACTATGAACAATCATTTATAGTTACCTTTTAAGAACCTTAATATAAGGTAATCTGACATTTTTCCTAAGAGAAATAAAAATGGAGAAGGAAGACGAAAGGAGAAAATTGAAAGAGATGGAACAAAAAGAAGGCGAATACATAAACGAGTAGAATAAGAATATACCTTCCAAATACTGTTCCGTCAATATTTACATTTTCCACAAACTGTACTGTAGATGCTTGGCTCACTGCACTGAATTCCTCAAGAATATTGTTGTCATTGGTGATGATCATTGTTAAAAGTTCATACCCCAAGCAGATTGCAAGTAAAGGAAAGTGTTCACCAGCATCGTTCTTCTCCAAAACTTTCTGCAAGTATCAAGTAAGCATTTAAAATTGTCACAACAATTTTCATCAATAAACATCTTTGCTATGTTGTTTCAGCTTACCAAGGACATGACACAGTTTCATCTTACCAAGGACATGACCTTAGATAAGAGGTTCCGGAGGACGCGAATTAGGGTAGAAGGCTAGAAGGTAGCAGTGTGTTGTCATGTTATCCATCTATACTAGTAGTTGTAGTATTGCTCCTATAGTTTCTTTTGTCCTTCAATTTTTGTTGTTATCTATTGTTTCTTGAGTGTACTTTTATTACTCCTTTTTCTAGACTATTTTGAACTATTTTTCCTCTATCGAAAACAGCATCTCTACCCTCCCAGACTCACAACATCTTTGCTATCCCTAAACAATAAAAAGACCCTTTAAAAGATGAGGCGTTTCAAACTGAAAAAGGGTCTGTAAGCAAAGAAGATAATCACCTGGAAAATTCCTTTAATAACATCAAAATATAGACCATCTTTGGCCCACCCTCCCGTGAAGATAATGCCATTTACTAGATTAAGCTTCTGCAAAAACAAATTCAATTAACAAATGCCAATCAATCCATGCTTAAATATCTTGGTGACGATTTGAGAAACCTCCCTTAAGCTCTGAGTACTGACTGACTGATTCAATTAGCTAGCATTTGGCCATAGATTTAGTTGAAACTTGCAAGAAAATGAGTTTTTGAAGTTGTGTTTAGACATTCATTCTACTAGGAAAAAGTTTGAAGCTTTGTGAATGGAAGTCAAATTTTACCCAAAAACAGGTTTGGGCAATTTTTTGTAGATGAATTTTCAAAAATTGACCAAATTTCAATCTACTATTATCTAAATCTACAGCCAAACTGGAGCTTAAATCCGAGATAAACAATAATCATATTTTAGCAAAGGAAGATTGATTTTTAAATACTTGATTGAGAACTTCGGGAGGCTCTGTGTATATGAGGGGAATGACTCTAGCACCGGCCATTTCAGCAAATTTAACGTAGGAAGCTGCAATGTAAGAGACATTAGTGGCGTTGCTGAGTCGGCCGGTGGCGCCATCGCCGGGATGACTCACGATTCCGATGATCGGCCGGTAATTAAGTGTAGGATCCGGCGCCGGACAGCTCGGCGGAAGAATCTGATCAGAAACAGAGAGTTGACTTTGTGCAGTAATAATCCCATGGACAAAAAGGAGAAATAAAATCAAAAGGTAGTTCCCCATTTGATTTGTTTTGCTATGCTGGTATTGTTTTTGAAAATTCACTTCAATCATCAAATATATATATTTTTTTATTAGTGACTAATAAAGAGATGATGCTAATCTAAGTTGTGGTGCACTAGTGAGAATGTTTCATCTTTAATTAGAGGTCTCGAACTCGAGCCTTGAGTATAGAGAAAATTTGGTTGGGAGCGTCACCCTTGAATGGACTCTGTAGAGCGTGGTTTGGATTTAGTCGAAGCCTGCGAATTTAGCCAGGCATTGAACACCGGGTGGGAAACCAAAAAGAAAAAGAACTAATGGTATTTTTTCACCAAAATATCACATACTAGTACAATTGATGGTGTTATTTCTCTCTTAATTCAAAGCAATTTCGAGTTTAAAATATGAAAAATAAATTAATAAGTAATTTCTTTCAAACGTGTCCTACACTGCACAAATTCAAATAAATAAAAATCTAATATAAATATCAAATAAGTTGATACCAAATGAAAAAACAAAATATTAATATATCACATAGCGAACACTAATTTACACCAATAACTCAACAAGTTTAGGAATAATTCACTTCGACATTGGTACGTAACTCTCAAACTACAACATAAGACACAAATAACATTCTAAAAAATAACAATCTAACTAAAATAACCACTAGCAACTTAGAGAAATATATCTTATTGTAAATATTTTTAGTTATTTGAGAGGCTAGAACTTTCCCAAAAGTGGATTAGTAAATTTTGTCACGTGAGGAACACGCGACGGCTTCCTATGCTACAATTTATCTAATTTTACAAGGATTAAAATTTATCATTCGGCCATCAAGCAAATTAAGACTTATTTAACATCTTTCGATAATGGCATAAGTACAAGTGATTTCAACTACTAATGGAGGAGAAAGTTATAAAATTTTGTATAGTTCAACGAGAATTTTAACCCGTTTTATTTTGTCTTATTTCATTTTTTTATTTTGAAATGAAATAGAAGATTTGAACAAAAAACGAAATAAGAATAAACAACTTTCACATATAGCAAACATAAAAATCATATTTGTATGTTATAGCTATAGTTTGCACTCCATAGCAAATTTTATGTTTGCTATGGAGCTTTTGATTTATATAATTCACTAGATACATCCAATTTTATACAAATTGTTCATTTTTGTATAAAATCATTTATACATAGTAATTTGTCTAATAAGATCTGTATAAGTATAATTATAAGTGTATAGGACGAAAATATATGTACTTGTATTTGTATTTGTATATACATTTTTCTCTCGCTTTATACAAACACAAATGCATTTTATACATTTGTATATCGAATGGGTAATTGTACATCGAAAATGACTAATTGTATACTGAACCAGATGGCAAAAAAATGGAATGTTTGCTGCGAATTACAAATAAAATAAACTATGGCTATAACATTTAATTTGAATTAATAGTTTGTTATTTGGAAAAATTACTTAAATACACAACACTTCTTTACCTATTCTCAATATTTCCCTACTCTTTTACTAAAATACAAAAATCCCTTATTTTCCCCCAATTCAACTTAACCGGATACTTTATTAGTTTAAGTATCCGCCCGTTATTAATTAAAGTATCCACGCTGCTATATTATGCATCCGTCCGTTAATTAAGTATTTGTGTTGCTAACAACTTAATAATTTAAGTATCCGCCCGTTATTAATTAAAGTATCTGCGCTGCTATATTATGCATCCGCCCGTTAATTAAGTATCCGTGCTGCTAACAACTTAATAATTTAAGTATCCGCGCTGCTATATTATGTATCCACATTGCTATATTATGTATCCGAAAAATACTAAAAAAAGGGATTTTTGGTAATTAATGTAAGAGTAGGGAAAGGAAGTAATTTCTTTCTTATACTATGTCATTTGCCTAATTTTTACTTGTTATTTCATACAATTTTTCCAACAAGAAATAAGATACAAGAAGAAGATGGTTGAAGTGAAGGCCCGGGTCGAAGCCCATGAAAGAAGTCTATTAAAAGGGCTACCATGCAACCACGTGCAATAGCCAATGGCTCATTAGGCTGCTGTGAAAAAACATGCAAAAACCTAAAACCTTGTTTTATAGGATTAGGTAAAACCCAAGTGAAGAATAATTATATTAGTGAAAATGTTTTTCAACGTTGAATTGATGAAATTTTTATGTTAATCTAATAATTGAAAAAATAAATATTTGAAGAAATCATTGATAAAAAAAATATTAAGTAAATAATTTGCATCTAAAATATATAAGAAAAGTAAATTTTAAATAAATAAATATGATGTTTGTTTAGGTTTTTGAGGCATGTTAAGATTTTAGGCCTCTAATAAAAATTTCGCTTTAGGCCTTCACATATGTTGAGCCGCCCCTGATCCTATATGGCTCCACCCCTTGAAAATATTGTTGGGACATGAAAGTTCTTAATTCAACTTGAAGTTGAATTTCAAATTCGGAAAGTAGCTTGTTTTGCAATTTATTTTTCTCTTTTAAAGTTGTATTTAAGTACATTCAAGCATGAGCAATATTAATATTATTTGTAAAAAATTATAACCAATCACAACTTTAAAAATTTCAAATAAAATAAAAAATATTTGAAATCTATAGTCAAACACCTACTAATTTAATTGGGAATTCGGCGTATGTTCTCCTCAGCGTTTTTACTATACATTTCCTAAATTTTTCAATTTGCATTCTCAAATTTCAATTTACTGATATGTCATGTGTTTACATCAAGGCATGGGCAACTGTGCCTTAAAATTAAAGAGACATGCAAGTTAGTGAATTTATAACTCCTTCGTCCGGTTTTGCTTGTCCACTTCACACTCTTCTTAGATAATTATAAATTAAATATATATTTTATAATAATAGTTTTAGAAATTTGTGTATAATGATAATAAAAAAATGGGAAATATTAGTATTGAGGAATATAATGAATGGTTGATATTAAAGTAAAATATGAAAAAAGACCAACAGAGATTGCGGTACAGTGGTGGGATTGCTTCACGTTTAACTAGAGGTCTCGGTTTGAGCCCTCGGTATGGAGAAAATCCTGTTGGGAGCGTCATCCCCAAATGAGCCCATGCGCGATCTGGATTTAGTCGGAGCTCCAATATGTGCTCGGAACACCGGATGGAAAATCAAAAAAATATGAAAAAAGAAATTGTATTTTTCCTAATATATTAAAATGTACAAGTAAAAATAAAATTTTATTTATAATTATCAGCTGTTTTGTATACATTGGAGTCAGTGCCTTCCCAGTTGGTGGTACCACCTTGTATGAATTGGAAGCTTTCTGTCAACCAGTTGCTGAAGGGACATTGTCATTCAATTTACTAATCCTATCTTCTGACCCTAGAAAATTATGTAAACATGAAATGACTCTACGTACAATGATTTTTTATGTGTTATTTTAGGCATCAAACTTAAAGCCATATACTGCGGAGTGGGGGTGGATACAAGTTTTCGAAAATTCAATAACTTTTATGTAGATTGATCTTATATCCAAATGTGGTAAATATATAATCAAAAAGATTTTGGAAACAATTAGTAGAGTATATTGTTGGTCTAGTGGACTAGTGGTAGAAAAAGGAATCTATAACGATAGCAAATAACTCACGGATAGACTTATTATCCACAATGATACAATTAGATATTAATATTATATATACGTGAATAGACTTATTAAGTGTGCGGAATATATTTCACTACAAAGATACTGTAAAATGCATGGACAATACACTTATTTATGTGAACGAATAGAGTGTATTTTGCTATATTTAAAACTAAAATGCTGCTATATTTCCTAATTAAGCAAAACTAACTAATCCATCTTTTAGGTAGTACCGAATCTACCCATGAAAATGTGAATCATTCAACTCGCGTGGAATTTATCTATGAAAATTATTGTTTTTACTACCCTTTGTCTCTTCTTTTCATTCCGAGTTTGTTATTTGTATTGAAACTCAATTAATCTAAATTTGCACACTTTAGAACCTATTTCTGAAGATGACTCTCCAAACTTGATTTTTTTTCATATTCAAGGCTCTAAATTTACAACTTATTTGAAGTATATTGGATCATTAATAAAGAAAGCCAACCCCAACAAATTGCCTCTTTACAATATTCATTGATGTGTATATCAGCCCTCTCTTGAGTATATACATGTGATGTTTAGTTTGAACTTTGAAATGCACTTTTTGATTTACCTTTTTTTTCACTTTTATTTACCATTTTGATGAAAAAAATAGTATATGATTGATTGAAGATGATAGTGGAGAACATCACTAGGTGAGAAATGAAGAAAAGATAGTAGTGTATGATTGAATTGTGAGAGTGCAAGAAACCCCACACAAAGGGTGATGATAAATGATCTATGAAAAAGTAATGAATGATTGAAAGGGAAAGTGGAGACCACTAAGGTGTCATGATGGACATAAAGACATTGATGGGGTTTGCTTTGCCTTTTACACTTTGACCAATTGCCTTTTTCCATCTTATGAAAAATTTCAGGTGTGGATTTAGTTTATTCAAATAATAATAATAATAATAATAATATGTGATACAAAATGTATTAATTAGTTATCTTTCTATTTTAACTAAGAAAGGAAGATTTCATTTCAATTCAATTTCCAATGCTTTACTATTTGATGGTGTCATTATTCAAGTTGTTAATATGGCAATACACATTGTTGCAAATTCCAATCATGAGCCTATATTAGCATAAGCAAAAAAATAAAATTGGCCAGAATGATATTTTATCTATGTTATTTTACCTTTTAAAACATTTTTATTCTTTTAATTTTAATATCTTTTAACTAAAAAATAGAAAAAAAAGATCAGTTTATTTTTAAATAAAAAAAATATTATAGTTTTTTTAATTTTATGGACATTAGCACTTCCCTTAGCATAAAATGAGACTATTAAGAATCTGTTTGAATGGATTTATAGCTTATGACTTTAGGATAAATCAAGATAGGAATCTTAATTTATAACATTTAACTTATTTTTATTGTTTTAAATTAAATAAAGTGTTTAAAATTAATTAATTAATTTTATCTATCCATATTGATTCATTTGTAAATATCAGGAGAAGTAACAAAATTCTTATGCAATCGAATAGGCCCTTCATTGGCTAAGAGACAAAATTAAATTAATTTCTGAATTCTAAATTTATGGTTATTGACATAATAATGTGTTAATAACTAAATTAGAATTATTGGGTTGTGTGGAAAGTAATGTACTCCACCCAACAAATATGACTTTGTGATACTATGTTTTATTTGATGTTGGCTCAAGCTTTTTCGTCTTGGCATTTTCCTGATGTGTATGATTACATGGGGCTATGTTATCATCATTTAGTGTGTAATATTGGTTATTCAGCAAACTTATTTTCAAAACAAAACCAAATTAAATTGCTTTGCCTTGTTGGTGGCAGGCAGATCATCTGCAATGACAGCCCACTTCTCTTTTTTTTTTTTGTTACTCATGAATTCATAGAAGTCCCACATCGGGGTTGTTCCTTAAATGGATTTGAACAAACATCTTCTTATGAGTTAACTTTTCGAGTTGAGTTACGTCTATGTATCATATCTTTACATGATATCAGAATCAGGCTCACTCCAATTTAATGTCCATTGATGTTGTATCCCCATTTAGAAGTGTTCACGCTCCAGTTGAGGTCTGGGCGTGTGGGGAGTGTTAAGAAGTCCCACATCGATAGAGAGACGGAAAATTGGTCTCTTTATATGGATTTGGACAAACCTCATCTCATGATCTAGTTTTTGGGGTTGAGTTAGACCCATGTGTCATATCTTTACCGTTCCACTGACAGGCGAAATTTGTATTTAAAGTTTATGAGTTCAGAATTCTAATTCTTTTAATAGTTTATTAATATTTTATAACTTTTTTACTATAAATTCAGAACTGAACCAATGTTATTTGGTGAAGTAGTAACCAACATACTGGCACCGCCACTGTCCTCGATTATATGCTTCATACATTCGGTGATGGAGTAAAAAAATTTGATGAAGAATTATACAAAATTAAATATACATTCATAATAACTATCGTTTAGGTTTCATACATTACAACATTTTCTGAAAGAGAATATGCATCAAATCACCCAACGCCGAATATGGCTCTGCCTATGCCGGGCCCCTACCCTCCTCCTTGGTCCAACATCAGAGCAGAGCTCAATGGCCCCAATTTTTAGTCTTACAGCTAACTAGAATGTTGGTTTTTATATTATTCTTCTTAGTGGCAAAATCATAAATACTACTTAAAAGAATTCAAAATAAAAATTAGTATATTACTATATCTAGAAGCTTTCTTTTTTATGTCAAGCAGATTCAACTGTTTATATACAAAAAATTAAAAGTTACTTTTATCCTATAATATACACGATAAATGTGAATAAATATCATGTATAGATAACTTAAATTTCCTTAACAAAAAAAGTATAGTATTACTTTTTTTTCTCCCTATTTTGTACTCAGTGTCTCAAGCTCATATTGAAACCTTAACTAAGTTTGAATCATACACTTTAGGACCCAATTGGGAGTGTCGCTTTCAAGAGAATTTTCTTTATATTCAAAGCTCAAACACAAGATTTTTTATTAAAGGTGGAATAATCTCAACCTGATACCACTACTAAGTTTTATTAGAAGAGCACACAATTTGTGTCTTTCTTGCATTGCTTTTTCTTTGGGATCACTATATTTGTTTATTTATAGTGAGTGAAGTGATGAGAAAAAGTATAGAAAAAGGGGCAAATAATATTTGTATTTTGTTGACTATTGAGGTGTATATGATATGGTACTTTTATCACAAGGGGATCACGTGAAAGTTGCAGAACTCATCGACTCCTCTCGCGTGCTGTGACCCCAGCCTTGTTAGGGGCCACTTACCATCGCTAATTATTGTTGGAAATCTTTATTATTATTATTATTATTATTATTATCTAAATTCATCTAGCACGTGCGCCGAACTCTGTCACGTGTGAAATATTCCTCCTATTTGATTTTCTTTTTTAACCCCATTTTTTGCATTAATGTGTTTGTGTTTCTACTTATATAAAGGAAAGTCGGGATCATTCATAAAACGGTTTTTTTTTGTTTAATAAAAGCATAATCGTATGAATAGGTTCACACTAATCTATTAATTTGGGATATATATTGAGAAAATTGATTTTTATTTTATTTTTTAAGACATACAATGTTTTTTCTTTTTGAGTTTTTATTGAAGATTGTAAATATTTGTTGAATGTTGATAAAATCTCTATCAAACACATCTGAAGAGAGGTGAACTAGTGTACAACCTTTTTAAACGAAGGATACAAACATGATGAAAATTTAATTATCTAAAATTATATTTCCAAAAACATAAATTTCTTCTCCGGATAAATTTAAATAGCATTGCTAAACCTTTTTAGTCTTTTCCTCTATTAAACAAAACAACTTCTTGTATAAGATAGTGATGAAAATTCGGCCTAATTACGTAAACTTTAATTCTAATTTAGGAAAATTCAATAGTCTTAATTAATTTAAGAAAGGGAAAAAAGTCTGAAATATATTCAAACTTTGATCGAAATTATTGTAACGATATCAAACTTTGGAAATGACCTTTTACCCCCTTGCACTATTTAATTGTGTATTTTAAAGGTATATATGGTGCCCACGTGGATATCATAAATATTGCATAATTATAAATAGTAACGTGTCCACGTGGACACATATATACCTTTAAAATACACAATTAAATAGTGCATGGGATAAAAGGTCCTCCATAAAATTTGATATCGTAACAACAATTTCGGTCAAAATTAAAATATTTTTCAGATCCTTTTCCCTTTAAGAAATACTACTAGAAAACATGTCTATCACTAATACTCCGTACATAAATGACATTAATTAATCTTGTAATTTCAGGAATAGTACAATGAAATAAATAAAAAACTACATTATTGCTTTTAATCGTTTTGATAATACTTAATAAGATAGATTCATTTAATGAAACATTAAATAGACGGAGAGTGATAGAATGTTCTACCCTTCAAACTTGAAGAAAATATCTATTTAATGTAACTAGAAGAGGTCTCTTTGTAGTTCACCATTTTTAAATACATCATAGGCTCGTTTTATGCGAGATATAAAGTATAATAATTTCAAAATAAAATGTAAGATTAGTTTATCTCGTGTTTGATTGGAGGTATTAAGTAGTTATTGAATTAGTTATCCCACCATTTTTGTCACAGTGATGAGACAAATTATCTCATATACACACTGGAATAACTTATTCTAAGATAACTTATCCCAAAATTAATTATCTTAAAATAACTTGTTCCTAATCAAACGACTTTTTATGAATAACAAATCAAATCAAACAAAAAAAAAAAGTGAGAGTAAACAATATGGACATATTGGGCATAAAATATTTTACATTTTTCCACCTTTTATTTCCCCCCTTAAAGATTTTTTGGTGAATCATGGTATGTATTCTCAATGATGTTATCATTTTCCTCAAATATATGGGATATTCCTATGTTTCTTGGAATCAACTTTATTTTTCAACTACAAGAACTTTCTAATAATTGCACTTATGGTGTGATCCTACTAATATTTGAAGGTCAATTTTTAAAAATTTAATTCAAAGATCTATAGTCAAATTAATATGTTAGAATTTAATAAAAAATCTATAGTCAAACTAATATTGAAAGGTAACTTTTTAAATTTTGTTACAAAAATCCATAATCAAACTTATATTTGAAGGTAAATTTTTAAAATTTGATTAAAAATGTATAGTCAACTATATTTTAATTTATTGGAAGGTAATTTTTTAAAATTTGATCAAAATTCTATAGTCAAGCTAATATTTGAAGATAAAATTTTAAATTTTGATTCAAACATTTACGGTCAAACTAATATTTGAAGGTAAATTTTTAAAATCTGATAAGAAATCTATTATATTTAAAGGTAAATTTTTAAAATTTTGATTCAAATCTTTATAGTCCAACTAATATTTGAAGGTAATTTTTTAAAATTTGAACAAAATTCCACAGTCAAACTAATATTTGAAGGTAAAATTTGATTTTAAAAAAAACAATAGTCAAACTAATCTTTGAAGGTTATTTTTAAAAATTTGATAAAAAATTATAGTCAAACTTACATTTGAAGGTAAATTTTTAAAATCTGATTAAAAAATCTATGATCAAACATTAATATTCAAAGATGAATTCAAAATTTATGGTCAAATACTAGTTAAAATAATAATTTTATTTTCAAAATAAATTAGCAATAGCTTTATTTTGTTGGAAGGTAATAAACTAAGATTTATATATTATTTTCCCATAGTAGTATTGTTTTTCACTTTTTTGTTTTGCCAAGGGGGTATTATGGTCAATTACTCAGTTACCTCTGAACGTCATGAAATCCCCTGCTTCTTCTTTTTCCTTTTCCTCGTATTAAAGTGGGGGACTCATCACTATTCCCATTTTCAGTGCTTCAATCATCCAACACTCTTTCATCAATTTTCAACCATTTCTCTTCTCAATTATTCCTTTTCGATTGCGTTTCATCATTCATAGATTCAACATTTATTGCCCATTTGTTTGTTCCACTTCTCAGAGTTTCCCCTGTTTCTGGGTTGTGTATACGTTCATGCAGTTTGAGCATTCAACGGCGTCGTTTTGCTAATCGCATCGATTAACATGACGTCGGGAACAAGGATGCCGACGTGGAAGGAGCGGGAGAATAACAAGAGGAGAGAACGACGGCGAAGAGCCATTGCTGCTAAAATATTCGCCGGATTAAGGATGTACGGTAACTATCAACTTCCTAAACACTGCGATAATAATGAAGTACTAAAAGCCCTCTGCAATGAAGCCGGCTGGACAGTTGAGCCCGACGGCACCACCTACCGCAAGGTAAATTCCCTAGAAGCATTTAATTTGTTGCAGTCCATTGTCAGATTAAATTCATTTTTTCGCAAATTTCTCATCACAACTATCAATAGTTGTGATATGAAATTTTACTGAAGAGAATAATAATTTTTTTTTTCTTTTACGAAAAAAGTTGTTGGTTCAATGATAGGTCTGTATTCAAAATATCCTTCGTCAGAACCAGTCTCATGTTGTACGTTAGGTGGTTGCAATTTTGTGTAGCAAGAGTACAAGTAGCTTTGGTTAATGGATCGTTTTATGCAAATTAAAGTAGCAGTACCGCAGTGTGTACTACGTACTGCAAAGCTTATCTGCACTAGCAGGCGTTTGTTGAGATTGCTGTTATAATACTTGCGTCATTATAAGATTTGGATTCTTCTTTTTTCCTTTTGCTTTAATCATCTGGCTACGTTAGATTAAACAGATATCGGTTGAACAATTCCTTTTCTTCTCTGCGCTGATCAATTTGCGGACATTTCAGTTATTTCATTAGTAATTGTAACTAACTTTTATCAAATTAATAACAAGTATAAGGTAACTTTGTCCGATTTTGCCTTTTGCTTTATTGACACACCCTGAGTTGGAAATTTGCAAAGATTCCCCAGTTAACTCTGTTCTCACCTGAAAAAGTGATTTTGATATTTAGAAAGACAATAATACCCCTGCAATAATTTCACTAGACCTTTTGGTATTCACATGTCTGCCTTGAATTAGGGGTGGGTCTTTAACAATGTAGGAGAATTGTAATGGCTTATGTTTCTTCTTTTCTGCTTTTCTTGTGGGCCAAATTAGCATTTTTTTGATAACTTTTGAGTGAGAAGGTGGGGGGTTGAGTTTTTCACCTTGCTTAAATGTTGAAAAAAAAGCACTTTTTTCAGCTTCTTGCTGTTTTGATGAAAGGTTCTTTATTAGATAGATACATTATTTAGGGAGTGATCTAAGGGGTGTTCAACATTTCTTTATAGGGGCTTTGCCTATACTGTTTCTTTTACTATTGCTTAGGTGCCTTGTCTTATTACATGTGCCTTTCCTTGTAATCAGTGAAATGCATCAACTAAAATGAGACCTAGGTAGGGGGCTAATTAATTTACTTGCCAAATATTCACCTGATATTGAACTCATTATGGGGAGTTTTAGATAAAAATGATTCTTTTGTGTGAGGAAGGTAGACTTGACATGTAAACGCAAAAAAGGAGAAAAAATCTTCGGGTGATTATGTCTGGTATTTTATTTGGGGTTTGACTAATCTGAATTCCTTTGGAAGTCCCATTTTTGGGTGAAACACTTCCTACTATAGACAACTCGTTTTTCAGGATTCGAATTTGCTACCCTTGATTAAAGATGGAGGAGTATTTACCTTTGGTGGTTTAGACAATTTCATTTCATGTTAGTAATGATTTTGTATCTATCTTTGAGACAGTCTGTAGCCTACCAAGCAGTAACCAGCACTAAGGATATCAAGTCAGTAGTATTATATACCCCCCCCCCCGTTTCAAATTTGATTGTCTAGATTTGATTTCGCACAAAGTTTAAGAAAGTAAAGATTTTTTTTTTGAATCTTGTTAATATGTAGAATGTATAGAATATCTTTTAATTCCTTGGTTTTAACATGTCACATTAAAATTTGAAATTAAAGAGTTGCCAAAAAAGAAAAAAACATCTTTGTTTTGAAACAGTAGCAAACAAATTGAAACGGAGACATTATTATTTATCTTCTCTCAAGTCTCAAGGTACGATGCGAGATGTTATCTTTAACTCCTACCATTTGGTTGAACTGATCTAGAAGAATATAATTGGGGTCCTTATTTTGTTAAAAGAGTCTGAACTCAAGGATGTTGTCTTGCATCATATAATAATTGTTTTAGAGCAAAAGTACCTGCATTAATATGAAGAACTTTAAAGCAGCAGAAATATATTACTATAAGGCTGTTATTCACAAGAAATCTGAGATTGGCAGGACAATTTGAATGGACAAAGTTGAATTGTTCCCTTTTTCATAACAAAGATGTTAGTGCATATATAGTATGAAAATGGCTATTGCAACACCTCATAAGTTTTCTTGAAATCTTTATTGAACATTTGCAGGGATGTAAACCAGTGGAGAGATTGGACTTTTTGGGTGGTTCAACATCATTAAGTCCATGTTCATCTTACCAGCCAAGCCCTTTCACTTCCAACAACCCAAGCCCTGCTTCCTCTTCCTTTCCTAGTCCAGCTTCGTCCTCATACGCAGCAAACCTGAACATGGACGGAAAATCCCTCATCCCGTGGCTTAAAAACCTGTCTTCTGGATCCTCATCAGCTTCCTCCTCCAAACTCCCTAGCTTTCACATCCATACTGGCTCCATTAGTGCTCCAGTTACCCCTCCTTTTAGCTCACCAACTGCCCGAACCCCTCGGATTAAAACAGATGCTGGCTGGGCAGGATTTCGATACCCTTACCTTCCATCATCTACACCAGCTAGCCCTGGTCGTCAGAACTTCATTAATGCAGAATGTTTTGCTGGAATAAGTGGACCACCTTCTCCAACATATAGTCTTGTTTCGCCAAATCCGTTTGGGTTCAAAATGGACGGTCTATCGCGTGGTGGATCTCGAATGTGCACTCCTGGGCAGAGTGGTACATGTTCACCTGCTATTGCTGCAGGATTGGATCATAATGCTGATGTTCCCATGGCTGAAGTGATGATCTCTGATGAGTTTGCATTCGGAAGCAACATTGCAGGGATGGTGAAGCCGTGGGAAGGAGAAAGGATCCATGAGGATTGTGTTCCAGATGATCTTGAGCTTACTCTTGGGAGTTCAAAGACAAGGTATATTCATTCAGGTCGCCTAAAAGATAACTACATATGACCGTTTACAAAACATTAACTACTTACACCACCATATGTTAATCAAATCCTTTTGTTCATTTTATCTATCTTACTCTTTGATTTGTTTCTTATATACAATACAATTTGCAGATAAAACTTGGAAGTGTGCAAGCAAGCAGAATTGGCTCCTACTGATGTCAAGGTGCGATAGCCAACGGGGTTGTGTTAAAATGAACCAAAAGTTTTTAGGCTTTTTCACTGGAGTTCATGTTGTTATTATAGCATCCACCCCTTCCCATCTTCCAATTCAGTTGCTATATAATGGAAGAACAGTAATGTGAACTTTAAAAATTTGTACCAAAATGTAAGTTGCAGAATTCAATTACTCCACATTATTTGAATGTTAGTTTGAACTTGAGCAAAAAAGGCATATAACTACTGCAAGAAGTTGGTTATGTCTATCTTTAAAACTATATTTTGTTATACTTGAACAGATTAGAAAAAATCTATGAAGAGGAAGTTGAGAAACCTTACCTTTGATGTCTGCTTGACTACACCAATTACAAGAAAGTAGAAACACTGTAAGAATGGGTCCAAAACTATTTGGTAGTATTTAAGATATTCAAAGAGAGCAACCTTCACTCAGGTCAAAGATGGTGTATTGATATGTTCAATTTTTGTGATGATAGAATTAGAGGGAGAAGCGGAGTCAGAGTCGAGATATAAAGTTTATGAGCTCTGAATTTGTCATTGATCCATAGTTGTTTTAATTGTTGGATGTACAATTTATTAATTAGTACGATTAGAAACTCTTCGAGTTCAATCATTTACCTTTTAAGTTAGAGACCAACGTCTTGAGACTAACCTGAGTTCCACTTTAGGTAAATATTTAATGCATTCCTGATCGAAAAAATCATGTTGAAGTAAAAACTGTGCATTTTTGGGATTATTGTGGGAAAAATAAATATGATCTGTGGTCAATGATAGCATATCGGGAAAACACGGAGGCCCCACTTTTTGGTCTTCAAAATATCTTTCTGAAGTTTGCAAATTTTGAAGATTTTTCTCAAGAAATTCAAATCCAAATTCAAAACGTGCTATAAACTTCATGCACAAAATAAACTTTGGCCTGTTTAGATTGATTTTGGGCTTATGATTTATAAGCCAAAAGCCATAAGTTAGGATTTCTAACGTATAACTTTTGGCTTATTTTTGTTATTTTGGTTTTAAAATAAGTGCTTATAAGCACTTTTTAACTTTATCCAAACACTTCAAAACTGCTTAAAAATTATTTTGGCTTAAAAACACCTAAAATAAGTCAATCCAAATGGGCACTAAGGGCTTGTTTGGATTGACTTTTGGCTTATGACTTATAAAGTTATAAGCCAAAAATCATAAGTTAGGATTTCTGATTTATGACTTTTGACTTATTTTTGTTATTTGGGCTTTAAAATAAGTGCTTATAAGCACTTTTTAACTTTACCAAACACTTCAAAATTGCTTAAATTAAATCTTAGTTTTAAATCCTTTTAAAAAATAAATTTAGAGTTATACAGTTCATTATAAACTAAATGATAAATTTTAATTTGAGTTATTATCAATTTATTGACCCTTCATCTCAAGCCGTATAAAATTAACTACTATTATCACTATTTCTCCGGATAAGTACTTACTCACATCAAGTGTCAGCATCATATGATATAAATACACTATAATTAAGTGATTCAATAAAAGGCACTAACAACCCATATACGCATATATTAATATTTATTTATTTAGTATAAACACTTAATACTTTTTTGTTTCCACGAAAAAAAATATGTTTTTCCTCCAAAGAAAATTAATAATTAACACATGCCGTATCTATTTAGTAAAAATTAAGCAAATGACATAGTATAAGAAAGAAATTACTTCCTTTTCCTACTCTTTCATTAATTATCAAAAATCCTTTTTTTTAGTGTTTTTCGGATACATAATATAGCAGTGTGGATATTTAATATAGCAGCACAGATACTTTAATTAATAACGGACGGATACTTAAATTATTAAATTGTTAGCAGCACAAATATTTAATTAATGGGCGGATGCATAATATAGCAGCGCGGATACTTTAATTAATAACGGGCGGATACTTAAACTAATAAAGTATCCGGTTAAGTTGAATTGGGGAAAAATAAGGGATTTTTGTATTTTAGTAAAATAGTAGGGAAATATTGAGAATAGGTAAAGAAGTGTTGTGTATTTAAGTAATTTTTCCTATTTATAAAGGATTAAAATCACCAATCTACAGATTTTGACTTAGACCATCTCCAGCCCATCTCTATTTTACTCTCCATTCTCTATATTTGGAGAGTAAAATAGAGAATGGGTACTCCAATCCACCTCCAAATCACCCTCTATTCTTCAAATTTAGAGAGTTGAATAGTAGTTCTCCAAATTTGGAGAACTACTATTCACACTCTCTGTTTCACTTTTTCATTATTTTATTATTATTATTTCTATTACTTTCTAATTAACATATTATTTTACATATAATTCCATTAATTAAATATCTAATATTCATAATTTTTTTTAAAATGTAATATAATATTTTTAAAAAATATTATTTAATATATACTATTTTAATTTCAAATTAATAGTATTTTTTTGTTTCTAATTTTCGTGAATAATAAAATTTTATTTTATTATTAATTTTCTTTATAAAGAATACGCAAAATTAAAATGGCAAGATGAAAAAAATTAATTTAAAAATACAATACATGATATGATAATTAAATACAAGATAACAATACAATACATAACATAATAATTTAAATACAAGATAACAATACAATATAATACATAACATTATAATTTAAATACAAGATAAAATACAATACATGACATAATAATTAATTCATCACAACAATAATTTAGAAATCCGGTAGGTCGTTTCCAGATTTAACACTATTCGGAAAAAAATTAGGATATGATTCCGAGAATTGTTGCGATTGTGGTTGTGACTGCGGTTGTGATTGTCGATTTCTTTTTTCAAGTATTCGTTGTTGTTCTTGTTGCAGGTAATCACGAACATTTGGATCACCAATAGTTTCTAAATTTTTCATTAAAATTTTAGTTTTGTCTTTGACTTCGATGATTGCAAAGTAGAGCCTTGTCCTCAAACTTTTTGCAATCACGTTTTGTAATTATTGTAGGACCGTCACGTTTTTGGAGAAAGGAAGTGCTATATGATATAATGACTACATGTATTATACTGCACAACATGATAATTGAGGATGAATGTGATCTCAATGCACCAATTCAAGATGCCGTAGAGGATCCAACTCCAACTCCAACTATAGAAATGGCGGTAGATGAAAAATCTCCAATTTGAACAATTTTTAGCTAGACATAAAAAAATTAAGGACAAAAATGCTCATTTTGAACTCCGTAATGCATTAGTAGATCATTTATGGGAGCAACGTAATAATTTTGAAAATTGAGTTTTTATGTAATTGTATGTCACTTTTATTTGAATTTGTTCCCTAATTTATGTATTATATTATATTTTCTTGCAATTTATGTTATTTAAAATTTCGAATAAAATATAATTTCATATCACATTAAAAATTATATAAAGTAATTATTTGGGAAAAAAATAAAAATAATTTATATTATGAAATAAGAAAATAAGAATGAAATAGAAATAATAATATAATATTGAGGAGAGAGATTTTTTTTTTTTTTACAGAGTAAAATAGAAATTTGGATTAGAGTTGGTTGTCTGAAAAAATAGAAAACTCTATATTTAAAAAGTAAAATAGAGGATTGGGTTGGAGATGCCTTACGGGCCCAATAAAAAATTATAGAAGGCCTTGATGTTGACACAATGGGCCCCATTCGGCCCAATTTGAAAACAAATTTTTATCTTCAGAACCACCAGAAGTTATCGCTGCTTACGTAGCGTTAACTGAGAAAGGCTGTGCGCATTACGCACCCTATATTTCCCATCAAAACACACAAAAATCTTCCCCACTTCCTTTTGTCTTTTTTCTCTCTTCAAATAGAAGAAAATAAAATCTATTTCATACTTTTTCATGGTTTCTTACAATCCCTAACAACTTCAATTAGAGGTTTTTGAAGGAGTAATTACTCTGTTTTGTGGATTCTGATAAGGTAATTCACTGTTTTTGAGCACCGGCGCCGTCGGAAACGGTTCAATTTGAGCTGTTGAGAAGCTTCTCTGATCCTGGTATATTTCTGGAAACTTCTATTTGATAGTTTATGTGATTATGAACTTGGATTTTAGTTTGTTAAACTTGAGATAGACTATTACGTATGGAATCTAAGTTATGGATTTGGTGATAATCAGCGAGATTGTTTAAGTTGTAATCGATGCTTGTTGTAGTAGTATGGTTTGATGCTGTTTTGTTTTAGATTGGAATTTAAGGGATATTTTCAATATTGTAAAGGAATTTAGGGGTGATTTTGGTGAAGTTTTGGAAAATGATGTCTGTGGAGAGATCATTTGAAGCATGGGAAGAGGTGCAAAGACATGGGCAGGATTTAGCGGATAAGCTTGCTCAAGGAGTTACTGGTTTGATTCAGTCTCATATTACTCCTCCGTCGTTTCCATGGCCTTATTCTCAAAATTCCAGGCCTTTTGATGTAGAGTTGTTAGCTGAAAGTTTTATTCCGAGAGATTTTGGTATAGCTGTGGATAAATCTGCTATTGCAGGGGTTTCAGCAATTTTTGATATGGGGAACAGAATAGGGCAAGCTTCTAAGCTTTTTGATGTAGAGTTGCCGGGTCAAAGTTTTATTCCGAGGGATTTTGGGATAGCTGTGGATAGCTCTGCAATTCCAGGGGTTTCATCAATTTTTGAAATTGGACACAGGATAGGGCAGGCTGGAGCAGACTTTGGGGCTTGCTTGAATGGAATGGTTCACCAGTTTTTCAGGAAGTTGCCGGTGCCTTTTCGGCAAGATGAAAATTTAGGATTGTCTTTGATGGCTGGGACAGATAGCCAAAGAGCTGATCTGAGTGTTACCCTGCAGGAGGATTTGGGGTTGTTGGCAGAAAGATTTAGGGGATATGGGTATGCTGAAAAGGATTCAGCTGAAGATAAACCAAGTGAAGAGGAGTTTCTTGGTGTTAATTTGAAGGCATTTAAACACTTCGGCAGATCACAGGTAAAATTTTAGTGAAAATTGAAAGGATTATGTTCTTGTCAAGTCACATCTATAATTTCTTAATATTTTCACTCATATTTTTGACACAAGAAAAGATGACCAAACAACAGTACAGGGATGGAGGAGGAACTTATATGTTTTCAGTCGCGGATATGATTCCTTGCTTAGCATGTTACAAACATTTGGTTGATGCTTGTTTTATAGAATACTTAAGGTGCAGTTTTATAAAATGAAGATTTCCGTAAGTTTGTTGTTGGATTCACGCCTTAGTAAGTATAATTTAGATTTTGCACTTGGAAGATACTTAAGCTGCAATGATGTGATATATGGATATTTCCAAAGCTTGTTCTCCGTCTGTAAGCATTAGCAAATATGACATGCGCCTACAGTCTACTGGTTTAGAATGCCGCACTAATTGATCAAGGACTCAAGGTAGTGGTAGAGGTGTAGGAATTGACCTATAGTGATGTCAAAGGCTTGCTTTCCGATGCATAGTTAGCTTTCTTTCCATCATAGGGTGTTAACCCTATAATAAGTAGTGATAGTGGTCCCCTTCAAATGTGTGGGTTAAGTTCTATTAGTGAATATGTGGGCAGGAGATCTGTTGAAGTGTTCTCCTAGCTTCTCAGAGGAAAACCGAGGGAAAATCCTTTGAGGGGACCTAAAGCCAAACCCTGAAAGTTCCTTTAGAAAAATGTGAAGCTGAAGGCAACATATTTTGGAGAATAACAAGTTGAATAGTTACCAAGCATTCTGTTTACAATAGGTGGCAAAAGAACTCTAATCCGAATCAAACAAGGAATCCTTGTAAATCAAGAAACATTTAAAAGGAAAAAAAAGTGATATAAATAAATGCTGATTTGACTAGGAAACAAGAATGATGAAGTTATCTAAATCAAATAAAACTAAAATTCAAATCCTAAATTGTGTAGTGTCCCTGGTGTTTAAGCTCAATTGAAAAAGCGTGAGGGTCTTGTGTCTTTGGTCATAGGTCCGAGCCCTACGCCAAGCGAACTAACTCTGGTATTTAATTGGGGAAGGGTGAAGGGGCAAGCCATTGTCCCGCTGTTTCAAAGGCTGTGGTTGGCCCAAAAAGCTGGCTCCAGACAGATTTCTCGGTCCTTGGAAAAAACTAGAGCAGTATGTAGATAACTGTAGTATGGAAAAAACTGGTTTCACATATGAGAAATGAGTACTTCATTTTTAGCCGGTGACAGCCCTAGATTTTCCTTGTTTTTTTTATATTATGCGGGACACGTGTAGCATTAGAGCTTCTTTGTGTGTTTCTTATTGTTACCAGTTTTTCAGTAAAGTATTCATCATTGTTGGCATTCAGCCACAGCTGATCCAAAGCTAAACTAGCAACTACCTTCCAATTATATTCTGATATGCTGAGTGCTCCTTGTTTTTAGATCTTGGCTAGGATGTTCCACATTTAAATGTCAATTTGCTTCTGTAGATGGAAAAAATAACAAATATATCACCAAGTGACTGCGTGTTCATGTCATTTCATGTATCATGCATGTGTAAAGTAAACGTTTCTCTTGATCCCTGCCAATTCCCATTTAATAAATTGGGGCTGTGGTTACAGTTGTGGGAGTGTACCTGTTCTAAACTTGTGTGGGTTGACTAGAGGTGGGAAATAAGTCGTGATTTATGTTCCTCTGTTGTGAGTTTGTTTTGAGATCTTACTTTCTTGATCTCCGAATGCAGGGTACAATCAATTTTTCGTCAACATATGAAAGTAGGACCAGGAATGTAGAAAGTTCTGTGGCTGCTAGAGGAGATTTATGGAGAGTAGAGGCATCACAGGGTAGTTCCACATCAGGAAATGAAAATTCTTCCCTGTTCCTTGTTCAACTTGGACCAGTACTTTTTGTCCGTGATTCAACACTACTTCTGCCAGTTCACTTGTCTAAGCAACACCTTCTTTGGTATGGCTATGACAGGAAGGTATGCAAACTGTAACTTTAGGACATTGTTTGCTTGTATTGAAAAGTCTTCCAGTACTTTTGGCCTTCTGGGCACTGGTTTGGGTGTGTGTGGGGGTGGGGGGGGGGGTGGGGGAGCATACTGGTACTGGTTGCATTGTAGTATGTTCTGATGTACAGACTCTAGTCTCTCTATTCATGATAGTTTAGCTTGTGGTACGTGTAATTGTTGAATCAGATTTGTCTCAAGTGATTGGCAGTCTTGAAGCAGGGTACCGATGTGAATATAATATCTCTAATTTTCACATGGTTTATCTTCTCTGCTGGAGATGAGATGCCATGAACTCATTTTTAATACCAAGCCTGCTTGATTGAGATTGTTCCTGTGTACCAAATTTAGTCAAGAAATTATTACTTTATTGACTGAATGATTTCAGAAACCTTGCATACCAAAATGACTCATTTTTTACATTTGTTGTGTGTATAATAATTACGTTAATTTACTTGTCTCTTTTGATCAATGGACAGCGTGGGATGCATTCGCTTTGTCCAGCTGTGTGGTCGAAACATCGAAGGTGGCTTCTTATGTCGATGATCTGTCTTAATCCTTTGGCCTGTGTAAGTGGAGTTCTATATTCATGTACACTACTCGTATTTCTGCTAGTTTTGTGGAGTTTTGGTTGCTCCCGTTCTTAATTTTTTTATCATGTTTGCGCATGACACTTCTCTTTATTGGAGAGTTACTTTCTGTGACTGTATGCTAGCTGAGGACATAGCTGGTAACATTCCCCTGGCTGCCACGCTCTATTAAGTCTTTAATTTTTCCAGAAAGACCTGAAAAGCTTAGTTCTTAACCTGGGTCTGAAGCTTTGGTTTAGTCAGCGTGCTCTCAGTCACTCTTCCCTATTTGTGCATCATTGAAATTTTTGCCTTAGTTTCTAGTTCACATATTGTTGAGGTGATGATTATTGCGGCACTCTCCTGTTATGTCTGTATTGTTCACAGTCTAGTGACCCATGATTTTGTTGGATGAGGTTGTACCTCTTATTTGTTTTGTCATGTTTGCGGGCTCTGGTGAAGGTAATGAGATGGTGTGCTCTCTCTTCTTACCTATGTAATTGATTTGTTTGTTGTGCGCGAGTTTTGCTGCTTGAATCCCCCCCAAAAAAAAAAAAAAAAAAAGAATCCGGCAGGTGCTGTTGAAAAACCGTATTATTGCATTAGATTTTTATTTACTAAATAGTCATACTCCACATTCTTCAGACCTGAGGGTGCTTTTCTTACCAATAAAGTAATAGTTCATTGATAGGCAGGAAGTCCTGGTATACCACTGATATATACAAAGTAGAGAACCTGCGGCAATATATGGTTCTCTATAATAAGTATGCAATTCGCCTAGACATTCCACTTCTCCAATGTCTCCAGGTCTAGGCCGTAACTAGTTGAGAACTTCTTTTTGCATCTCTTATGCCATTATACTATTAGGGGTCATTTGGTTGGAAACAAGTTAGCCGAGATAAGTTATCCTGGGTTAGCTATCCTGGGATAACTTATCCACCATGTATATGGGATAACTTATCCCACCACTATGATATAAATGGTGGGATAAGTTATCCCAAACATGGCAACCAAACAACATAATTTTTTTAATCCCATCACTATTTCCTTGTCCCATCACTGTTATTTTTAATCCCTCACACCAAACGAGCCCTTATAGTATAGATTGCTCATTATAGGAGAAGGAAGAAGATTGGTGTTCATCAATCAATTCAGAAATGCAGCAGCGCAATTTATATGTCCATTTGTGAATCCTTCAACACATCTATTGAGTTGCCTTGATTTGATCTAAATTTTTTATCACTAACTACATACCCTCAGCCACATTTCAACAACAAAAACAATTGGAGTCTGGGAGGTTACTGTGTACGCAGACCTTACCCCTACATTGTGGGGGTAGAGAGGCTGTTTTTGATAGATCTCTCAGCCATATATGATGTCCTAAATTTTTGAAGGCCTGGAGAAAACAGTTATTTGTCTCATGATACTTTCTTCGCCTCAGTAATTTCCTAGAGTGAAATTCCCAACGCTGCTTTACATTTAGCACATGCTAGAATAGAGACCCAGTGATTAGAGGTGACGTGCAAACCTAATACTTTATTCAGGATGTGGTGTTGAAGTATTCATCTTCATTAACTTGTTTGTTGGTGATCATGCTAAGTTTATACACAAGCAAGAACAGTATTTTAAGGGAGCACGATAACTTCTCTCGTGCAGAGAATCTAGATGCTTTTTGTGGACAACCTGGTAATCGTTTCTTTCCAGTTTTGAAACTTAGTTGGGTGTGTGACCATTTTCCACTTAGGTAGCAGACTTGGTTCACAAGGATTTGATCTCAGATGCTTTTCTACACTGTTGTTTTTCTGGATTTGTAAGCTTAATTACTCAAAATGTATTTTCTTTCTTAGCAACTTATTGAACCTCTTTATTTTGCAGTCGTTTATGGACTTGCAGTTTCCAAATGGTCAAATAACGTACGTATCTGGGGAGGGATTGTCCACCAGTGCCTTTTTACCTCTATGTGGAGGTTTGCTTCAAGCCCAGGGTCAATACCCGGGGGATCTCAAGTTCAGTTTCTCTTGCAAGGTGAGGTGATGTTTAATGTGAGGAAGTATTTGACATTCGATGATTTCTGTACCTGTTCCCACTTTATCTGGTGTTTTATTTAAGAACAATATTTTCACTTATTATATGCAGAATAAATGGGGAACATGCATTACACCGATGATGCATTGGCCCGACAAATCATTTAGTTTTGGGGTTACCCAGGCATTGGCTTGGAAGAGATCTGGCCTCATGTATAGGCCAACCATTCAAATAAGGTAATACTAGCTGCTTCATATTTATTTAACACTGAATTTTTCTGCTTTCTGCTGTTTTATGGTGTTGCCATCAACATCTGATGGTGCAGTGGCATTAGCAAATATGGAGAGGTTTGCGCCACAATTGTGGAGTTTTTTGGTTAGAAGTTTTCTATATTTTCATGTGAGGCTGAAATCTTCAATTGTCATAGCCTTTTCCTGGTTTTCTCTGTGATGTGGTAATTATGTTCGTTGCACTTGCATTCTGCTTACATGTACAGTCACTTATAGCTTGATAAGTATCGTTCATCTCTTCCTTCTTTAATGTTGTAACAAGTTTATCAGTCGCCTTCTAATCATTTTCTTTTCTCATACACTATTAGTGTATGCCCGACAGTTGGTGGGAGCAGTCCCGGTTTGCAGGCAGACATCACACATTCTCTAAAGGAGGGATTAAATATCATCTGTGGCTGTGCACTTGCAACACACTCTTCTGCGTTTGCATCGTTAGCTGTAAGTCATTCCTGAACTTCTCCCTCCCTTTTTTTCTTGGGAGTTCCACTTTGCCGGGCACTAACTCTTATTGTTTTTATTTGCCCCTCCACCCATGTTCCTGCTTCTTTCTTTTTGTACTTTATTATGATATATACCTTTTTCTCGTGCAAATGCAGCTTGGGCGGTCAAAGTGGAATGGAAATGTTGGGAGCTCAGGGGTGGTTGTTAAGGTGGAAACCCCTCTTGGCAACACTGGCAGGCCTTCCTTCTCCATTCAGTTGAACAGTGGCATCGAGTTTTAATACACTTAAGAAATTTCCCCTACCCAAAAACCACATAGTACTGCAATCATCTGTAAATAGCCTATGTATGACAAAGGACTGTCACATGTATAGTTCATCTACTGGTCTCTTTACTGGGGTTATTTTGCTTTAATGGTAGAAAGGGGGAAGTTAGCTCTTTAATCACAAATATAAGCGTATTTTTGGGGCTGATCTTCTAATTTTTGTATCCATTTCCTCTCTTAGAAGTCTTGAGCTCGTCATACCGATGTTGTGCAGGAGGGAAGCTGTGGTAAATTATGTATCCCTTTTTTTCCAAATTGACTGGTTTTTGGACGACTCCTTTTCCAATTCCATCCCATCTTATTCTGGATAAACCATCGGCTAAATAATATATGCTTTTCGAAAGAGCTTGGCCGGCAGAGAGGAAGTGACTATATAAAACGTGTTTCAGTTTCAGTTACATTGAATGTTCAAACAAAAAAATAAAAAACGGTGTATCTTTATTATAAATGATGTATCTCCACTATAAACAATGGGAATGAATTAGTATTCATTTACAATGTTACAATGAATTGATATATTTATTGAAAACTAATACTAAAAGCTATCTAAAATGGTGGAGAGTAGTCCATCTAAGAATCGTAGAGAGTCCGATTCAATGATGTTACAAGCTTAGAGAGTCAGATTCAATGTTGCTATAGGCTTTAATACGCCATTAAGAGGATCATCAATAATAGAATTGAGCTCTTCAGTTTCAATTGTCTCTTTTTGTTCAATTGGATCGTCTTCCCCTTTCTTTCTTTTCACTCGGCAAAGTACGTAATTTTCTTTGTTATAGTCCTGCAAAAAAAAAAATTGGAATTAATATACTATGCACCAAAAATGAACCAAAAAAAAAAAACTATATCTACTAGAAAACTTTATTTCAAGTAGAACAAACAAAATCTAAAAGGCCAATAAAAAAACCGATCCATACATAAGAGAAGCGACCTAGCTAAATTTATTCACAGGTCCAATTAAATTTGGATCACACACTATTCATTGACGGGTGACACATTTCTCGAGATCAAACCCGAATTATCAACATATTAAAAACTAAAGACGCGGACAAAGAAATAGAAAATCTATACATACCAACATAGGGGTTCCGGATAAACTTGCTTGAGCCCCTATCTCCGGTATCGAATATCGAATGATAATACCAATATTTTTTTTTTGAAATAAAAAACCTCAAGAATTATGAATTATGGTGAACTTACACGTACTCGTTTACGTAATTGTTTTTTAACTTCATCCGATATTGAATATTCTTTCATGAGCCATTGTCCATCGTGTTCTGACGCTTTCCATTGATACCTTAAACTTCTTTTGTATCCCAATATCGAACCTCGTTCACTAATTACAGCTTTGCCTTTGTCTTGTGATTTCCATGAACCACTTCCAACACTTCGAACATATCTCGTATTTTCTTTCTTTTTTTTCTTCAACTCCGTAAAAAAATACATCGTCTTCTCTTTTCTACCATCAAAAAATACCCATGGATCTTTTGAATAAAGATCTTCTTGTTCAATTGGAACTAATGTAGGCAACGGTTTATTTATTACGTAATGTAAGAGGTATTTCATCAATTCTCTATCTGTTGGATGGAATCGAAATCCCTCTGTATACACTGAATACGAACTAATTTTTCGTTCGTCGTATGCCATGGTATGAGGTATGAGCAAAATGTTTGGTATAACCGTATAAGTACGAGGTTTGTCTGTATATATATAGACTTTTTACGTAAGATAGAGGAATCTGGTAATTTGTATTGGATTAGGAATAGAAAAATATATTTAAACCTTTGTTTTGTTTAATTAGGTAAGTTAATATTGTGTTGGTATTATACTATAATTTTAGAGGAATAGGGAAATCGAATAAAGTAATTATATTTATTGTAGGAAAGCCCTTCTATTCAAAGCGGTGGAAAAAAAAAACAAATTTGGGTAGAATTTTGTATGTTTTTCATTTTTTAAGTTCATGTTAAAATAAGAAGACATAATGCATAAACATGACCCTTAAGTTAATGTCAGTTGATAACTATGACCGGCCTCCAACTTTGAATGTGCACAAGTAGGCACTTAAACTTGTATAAAATTGAACAAGTAGACACAAGTGTCCTACATGACACAATACACGTAGGACACCATGTAGGACATAAAATTGCCATGTAGGGTACCATATAGGACAAATGTGTCCATTTGCTCAATTTTATACAAGTGTAAGTGTCTACTTGTGCACACCAAAAGTTAAAGGTTTAAGTTAAGGGTCATGTTTATGCATTATGTCAAATAGAAAAGAATTTGTTGTTCAATTTAACTAGGAATAATGTTTTTAGTTTCTAGTAGGTATTTTCCTAATTATAAATAAGAACGATAGTCAAAACTATTTATTTTAGGAAGGGACAAATTAGAAGTTTGTTTTTGGGTCGGCAATGGAGAAACTGAGAAGATCATTTTTGCGAAAAGAAATCTTACTAGTGAATTAAAGAGAAAATATGAACGGACGATTGATATGAATTAATCTGGCTCTGAAAATTTGTCATGCTTCAAAAATAATGGACGTGATGTTACTTGTCCGCAATTGATCAAAAGGAAACTTACAAAGACTTATCCAAAAAGTTTAGCATAAGAATATCTTTAAAACTGCCACCAAAGGTTTTCCAAAACGGGGAAAAAATGGTGTAAAACCTCGAAATTGCAGGTCAAAACCCTCTCAAGTCTCGCTTCCGCGAAGTTAGATCGATCATCGCAAACGCTTAAGCGAACATAGAGTGAAATTCAAGTACGTTGTGTAAAATGAATGGATATTCACGAGCTAACGAGCAATGTCAGTAGTCAATGCTTGAAATTAATTACCCCTTACACTGGAGCTGTTATCTGCTTGGAAAAGACAATGTGTACTATAGGTAATAGCGGAAGAAAACTCAAGTCCAAACTTTGCTTTCTATTTGAATCAAGAGAAGATAAACTAATGCAAGAAAAATACTGTTTGGGGAAGCAAACAAATCAACAAGAGCAAGCAAAATAAATCAACAAACGAGACATCAAATTTAACGTGAAATACCTTTTCGGTGTGTGTGAACAGTAAAAACCACGTAGGAAGGGATCCAAAACCTTGGATTTTTATTTATCCACGTAGAAAGGGGAAAAGACCCAAAACTCAAAACTATCTAGAATCCAGAGATTCCATACTTGTGTCAAACTTGACCTTGATGGCCTGGCTACTCTACGTGCTTTTGAATTTTGATACTAAAGGCACTTTTTATGTCGATTAGTTTTAATTAGTATTACTATAGTTTTTGGACAGAAAGACAACCAGTTGATTGCGTAAGAATAAAAGGGTGCAAGATTTCATAATTTAAATAGCATTTGAAACAAAAGAAGGAAGTCATTTTCTAGCTTATTAGACTGCATATTTCAGGATAACTTATAGTCTATCCAAAATGTTGTTGGGATTTTATTAATTTTTTAAGTTAAGTCTATAAATCTTGGGAATCTGGGAATCCGTGTTGGGGTAGGAATGGGAAAAGGTAAATATTATAATTGTAGAGGAAATAGGAAAATCGAATATAGTAATTATGGTAGGAAAAGCCCTTCAATTAAAGTGTTAAAAGAAAAAAACCAAATTTGTGTAGAATTTGGTATGTTTTCAATTTTTTGTAAGTTGACGTTTAAATAGGAAAGAATTTGTAGTTAAAATTCTACTATGTATTTCCTATTATAAATAAGAAGATAGTCAATAAGTACTATTTATTTTAGAAACGAATTAAAAGTGTGTTGTTTTTTTTTTTTTTGGTCAAGCGGCGGGCAATTGAGAAGCTGTGAAGACGACTTACTAGTGAATTCAAGAGAAAATATGGACGGACTATCGCCTATCGGTGTGGAGATCGTCCGTTGTTGGGACTATCTCAGGAGCAATATGTACTTCGAACGATGATGCGGGGATCCGCTGGTGGCTGAATAATTCGAGCCTGACGCTGCTATGGGATTTGAGCCCCTACTCTTGTTTGAGAACCATGTGGTGTAGCCGCCACACCACTACCTTGAGAAAAGTTTTCCAACACACTCAGCGTCCTGAAACAAGAGAGTTGCTACATACTCATTGATGGCACAAGTATTCATTTGTGATAAGTCATTGATGACACCAGGACTGAGGAGGACTATGATACACACTTGAGATTGTGCTCTAGAGACTGAGAGGATGGCACAAGTATTCATTTGTGATAAGTCTTCATTGATGACACCAGGACTGAGGAGGACTATGATACACACTTGAGATTGTGCTCTAGAGACTGAGGGGAGAGAAGTTGTATGTCATGTTCTCAAAGTGCGAATTTTGACTTGATTTTATAGCATTTCTTGGACACTCTGGTATCCAAAGAGGATATTCGAGTGGATCCAACCAAGATTGAGGCAGTTAGAGACTAGATGAGACCTACTTCAGTTACCGTTTTGTGGGGCTAGCAGGTCATTAGAGTTTCTCCACTATTGCATCCCTATTAACCAGATTGACTCGACAAAGTGTGAGCTTTCAATACATTCATTAGACTTCCGAACAAGAGGTTTTGTTGGCTGCCGTTGTTGTAGTCTATTAGGTTAGGTGGAATGTTATATTCTGATGTTGAGGTAAGTGTGCAGATTTCAGTTCAAATCTTTTGAATATTAATATCCTCACGTTCAAGCTGTGTGCATAGGTAGATTATCCAAGGGTCAAACTTGTACTTGTAAGCGAGGGAAAAATGGGGTGAATTCAAGAAAAACTTATCGAGCTAACTTTGTTCATGATTGTGCAAGTATTTTGTGCCTTTTTTTTATGTGTAATCTATTTCCCTGTAATTGTTCCCTTCTTTTAAGTTACACAAAGAAAAGCAAAAAATACATACATATTAGTATGTGGACATGAATTTATCAAGACAATCAGGAGTGCAAGAGCTAGAATTGCCTATGATAATTGCATTTCCTTCCTATTCTCGAGGATTTCAGTAATACTTTGCTTCTGTTATTGTTATGTTATATTGTTATTGTATTTGAGATTAGAACCTCCTAAAATGACTAATATACTTGAGTTTTGACTCCCAAATATCATGTTTTTGGAAGCAAATATATTTTCAAAGATAAAATCTGATCTAAATTAAAGGGGGAAACTTGAAGCTAATTTGTTAAGTCTTTAGCTATATTTTGTGAGAAATACCCAAGAAATAATAAAGTTTTAGTTGAAATATATTCTCCTTGCTACTACTTACTGAATCCAGAATGAATTTTGTTGTCAACTAAAAGTAAAGTTCACAAATCTTCCAAGTAAAAGAGAATGCAGAATGTTCATATGATACAGTACTAATTAAGAAGATGAAGACGTAGTATCTTGTAACAGACTTCAGTATTAATGGTACAGTGCCTACATCTATTAACAAACTTCATTATTAACGTTGCAATCCTCTAATGCAATTTTATTTCGAGTTCTGTGATATTTGGTATTTGAAGAGGTAAGTGTTATAGATATCAAACATTATGCACATTATAATAATGTATTTTGCCCATAATTAACTTGTATATTTTCTATCAACCTATTTGAGCAAAAGAATGATTTCGTTAAGTAACTGAAACCTTTGACTAACAACACATTGTGTAAAATGAATGAATAGTACTCACGAGCTATAATGTTCGAATTCTTTAAAAATATAAATAGATACATGTCGGATTTTTACATCAAAAATAATCTTTGCTTAATTACCACTAATATAATTTTTAGAGGAAATTAAAATTCTTTGTAAATATCCCTAAATTTTATAATTATACCGGAGATATAATATTAGACGGCAACTAGCCAGAGCTCTCAAAGTCTATTCTTCTTATTTTTATGGAAGTTATTTCTCTCTTTTATATGAAAAAAGATTTCTATAAATAGTACAAACTTATCATCTTAAACTAAATTATATATATGTATATGTATATATACCAAAATATCTTTTAATCTTGTGATCTTAAAGATATCACGTGGAAAGTCAAATTTAAAATATAATAAAAAACAAAGAAATATTCTTTAATGTTTCAAAACAAACAAAAAAAGTAAGGCAAAATAAATTAAAAAATATCATATAATTTTTTAAATGAAACTTATAATAATTCTATTATTTATTACTAAAAAAATGGGTTCCTCATATTTGGACCACAAAGTAAAGATTAGCGTCACAAAAAAGAACGTATGCACACATTTTTGGATAATGTTATTGCATTCAATCATTATCCATAATATACAAACTCCTTATATAAGAACGTTTACATAAGGAGATGCAACAACAATAATCATAATAAAATAAAGATTCTAAAAATACATTTCTTTGAACATATGAATTCTGAATTTTATCATCATATTTTATTCTTTTGGGACTTTTTTATTATTTCAAAAACAATTATAATCCCTCTCCCTGCTAAGTCCGATAAAATATCAAAAAAAAAAAAATCTTATCCAAATCCATAAATCATTTGGTAGAGTATGTTGAAAGACAGTTCAGGAAGGGATAATGTTTTTTATATATATACTTGACGTAAGCTTGGATGTATTTGGTAATTTTTGATGTGTTAGGATTAGGAAAAATTAATTATTTTTAGACTTGTTTGGTTTAGGTATTTGTGTTTATGTTATAATTTGAAGAGGACTAGGAGAA